CCTTATAACCCATATTCCAGCAGAGCTCCGTAATACTCTCTCTGGGTTGCCATTGTGGTGGGCTGATGTAAAACATACACACACACACACACACACACACACACACACACACACACACACACACACACACACACAGTTTGGCACGTTTGCTGGTATAAAGCAAATCTGGACCTGAAAGATTGGTGGGCTTCCCAGTTGCACAGCAGTAAACAGCTTCCAGGGTCTTTGGTCTGCCATTAGAAAAAAGACACTCCTGTTTTTGCGTGTGTTTCTATGTACACGCAAGCACGTCCACGCGTGCACATGCGAGTGTGTACTTGCGTGCACGTGAATGTATGTTTGTGTGTGCAAAAAGCAGAGTGAGGGGAGGATGGGGGGGGGGGGTTAAATCCACACAGCTGTTCTTGAAATCAGACTTGGCTGGTGTATTAATGCCTGCAGGCAGGAAACGCTACCCTTCTACTCGTTTTCATCATCATTTAGCTGCTCCATAACAATGCCAGGCTGCTGTTTAGGCAATGAAGTCCAAAAACGAACAAGTGCCAACATTGTAACTGAAGTGCTTTAATATGCTTTAATGACGGGATAATAATCTTCAACCATAATAGTACACTCAGAGAGAAATGATGCACCATATGGATTCAAAACCTCTATTTATTTAGCTGGTTTGCTGCGCTCATGCTGGAGGATACATCCCTGCCCGATCATAGCTTCAGTTAGCACCTGATAAGAACTGGGGGGCTGGGACTGATTTCACATCTGATTATAATAATATAACCTATGAAGGGATTACGACTGCAGGCAAAAAAACAGAGTACACTCAATTAAATATACTTGTAGAACACACGTAAATGTATGCACAGACACACAACCTTTAATCCTGCACTAAAACACACCCAATCACTCTACAACTGCCACATCCTTTCCCGCATCCAGCAGAGCTCTCCCTGGGCTTATCAGTGCATAATTGCTGTTGATTGGTGTATTATTGCTCTGGTTAATCTGCCTGTGGGTGGCTAATAAAGGAGCTCCATCAGGGATGTTATCAATTGTAGGCAGAAGGTTTGCACGGAGCGAAACTGGAAGCAAAGAAAAGGAAGGAGAAGGAAGGAGAAGGAGGGCTTGGAGAGGGGAAGGAAAGGGGGGGGGTATGAGGGAAAGGAAGGTGAGAGGGGGAGGTGAGTGTGGGATGAAAGGGAAGGAGGAATAGAGATTTTGTGATTCATGTTGAAAGACAGGGAAGGACAAATTAGCACAAGATTCTAGGTTTAAATGTTTGCGGTTCAGGATGTGTCGGTCTGAGGTAAAGTAAGGTAACATCAGTGCGCTGGATGTTGTTCTGACAGAGTTGTGAGAGTGATCTCGCTCCCCGGAGAATCCCTTTATGATTGATGTGGCCTTGTTCCTCGGCCTCAGTTCTATTTCTAAACAGAAGCTGGAGGAGGAGGAGGCTGTGGCGAGGTGATTAGATTCCTCTCCATTACGAGACAGGTAGGATATCGCCCACAGCAGACACACCTCAGTCCCAATGCCCTGTGCAATAACAGCGTGTTGGCAACTGACCCTGTGGTGTGTGAGAGGGGAAGCTAACATGACAAACTAGTGTTTCTTGATTCCACTGGGGGGGGGGCAGTGATTGAATTGGCACACACTCCAGAGACGATTGAAAGTGGTGGTAGAAGATGGAGACAAAGTAGTCATTCTGTAGCAAGGACAAGTAGAAGTTGCTTAGAGTCTGGGAAAGTTTGGAGTACATCGCTGTAGGCAAACTGAGGACATTAAACAACAGGAGATGATTTAATTTCACACACATCTAATGGAACTTCATCTGTCTCCAGCAGTGTTTTGTACTGTCATAGTCGCACACAGAGCAGTAGAGTTTTCATTACTTTTCAAGTCACAGCCCATGTGATAGATGTTGCTTAAACTGAAGAGCTGGGACTGTCATTTGAGGAGAATTGGCCCGGGGTTCTGAGTGGATAATTTTCTACCTTTGATTCAGCACATTATTGTATATTGTTTGGAAAAGATAGATTTTGCAGAACTCTGTCTACCTTAAAACTGGGAAATATGTTTCTGCAAACCGTTTCTCATGAGCTTTAATCCACCGATATAACCTGAAGGATTCCTGGGGATCCACAACAGCTAAAACTACTGTGAACCATGGGTCAGTAGGTGAAGGCCCTGATTTTAACACGGTATATACAGAAGATCTCACTGATTAATTTAGCATTAAATTTTAAACGTGATAAATATTCCATGACCTGAAAAAAACCTTCCATTTGAATTGATTGCATAATTATACATTCATAACTGAATCAATTTATTTCAGGCCTACTGTGATCAAAGTTTTAGCTAAACTGAAAGATTTTGTGAGACAGATTCATCTTGGTGATTTTAGTATGAACTGCAGGGTGAGTGATCCACTGACGACCACCACTACCAGGCAATACTTAATGTAACTCAGGTAGAAACTAGTCTTCAGATTAAAATTCAAGTCCATGTGGCAATGTTGTCAGTGAAGAAAAGAGCCTGGAGGTTGTTTTACTGGCTTTATGATAGCACCTCCTACTGGTGAGCTGCGTGTATTAAGCCACTGGTTTATAATAACTGGAAATATAAACAGCAATAAACAAAACAAACAAGAGGCTGGAGAGATGCTAGAGCAGGGGAGAATCATAGTTAAAAAAAAGAAAAAAAAAAGCTCACATAATAAGAAACCAATACAATAAATGTAGAAGATTGAAAAGCCGTGGACTAAAATTTCACGGACTTGTATTTTGATTGCACCGACCTTTATTTCTTTGTCTGTTTTCCCATCCACTGGAATGATCATTCACCAATTGATTTATCCTTTACTCTGCTCTGAAGTCTCCTACAATCATTAGACTGACATCCATTCGACAAAACAAACACACACACACACACACACACACACACACACGCAAAATGACCTACACCGCTCAGTCAGACAGCTCACATCTAACAGATTATTCAGTGAATTGTTGCTGATTTGGAATCTAGGCTCTGTCCTCATTAAACCTATTAAGGGAGAGTGACAATATTAACTTTCTGACCACATTCACTTGGCCTTATTATGAACCATGGAGTCACAGCGCCCACAGGTGGATGCTGTGGTACGACGCTTGTAAAACGCTACATGAACAGCAGCAGTTAGAGCAAAGCGGACATGGATTTAAAGACTTCTCAGCGCACCGATTCATTAAACACACCACCAAACTGCAAAGGGTGCATTGGTTACATGCTGTGAGTGTGTGGCGTGCCATGTGAGAGTAGCTGAGGACACATCTGCCTGAATCATGTTGAAAAAGCACTTAAACTGCAACTGTATTCTTAAAATTAACTAAAGCTTTTGAAAGTAATACAGTACTGGTGGATCTATCATTCAACTCAGCCCTGCCAGTGTGCTCTGACAGAAATCCTGCAAATTTACATAACATTAGGGATCTAAATACCCTTGTTGGAAGAGAGCTTGGTTAATTAGTTGAGGACTTTATTGGAATAATAATATCGACCACAATATCTGGACTCCATCAAAGGAAATATCATAATGTTACCATTATAAGGCATTTAGACCTACCACTGAATTATATAAATCAATCACTATAAAAAAAAAATAAAAAAAAAAACCCTTTACCCTCTCATGACTGACAGCTTGGTATAATAATGGTGCAGGAAGGAGGTTCATGGAAATCATGTAGCCCACATCAACTGCACAAAATGGTTGCTGACAAAGGTTTGCTGTTTAATAATGTAATAGATTTTAAAGGGATTTGCTTTCTTGTCCATTTTTTGTTGGTGTTTTGTCAGATATAGGATCTTGTTAACCATGGCCTAACATCAGCACTTCATGCTGTTCAAATACAAAGAAAAAGTTTTTTTTATTTTCCTCAGAAATGGTGGATAATGCAATAGGAAAACTTCATAAATCACGTAACTTCACAGAACTATGGAAAAAAGAACATCACAGAACATACAAATGAGAATAGAAGCCTACAGTGTATCTGGACCTGGATGGTGTGAGAGCACGGAGCTTTGCTCCCAGTGTAGGACATAGAACAATGAAGAAACAAAAATGCTATGTTGCAACTTCTATGTCTTTTGTGAGGTGAATCAGCTCTATCACACTGAGAAAATTCCCCAGATAGGAAACTCAAATGACTTCTTGCACTGCAGAGGGTTGAGTCATAACTTAACTGAGTTGTAATAACTTAAACCTGACAGCAGGTGGCACAAAAACTGCTGTTCATCCAAATACAAGCTCCTCTGGAGAATCACCACTTCCTTCCCTTCACAAAAAATGAAACATCCTACTGTGTTAATCTAACATCAACAGCCAAATGAATGAGGAGATTTTTTTAAAAAGCTTATTACTGCTCCTCTACGCTCATTTACATCAGACAATATGAGCATTTAATATTAAGTTCAAGTTTCATCTTCTACATGAGTCATGGTCTGTAAGACTCATTGGTGAGGAATTCCCCACTTCACGTGGAGTGTGCAGCTTCTATAGGCCTCTGATGTATCCAGACACTGAGCACTGGCACTGTTCTTAAATGACTGTTTTTACGGTAGATGGTATAATTGCGGAGAAGTCCGGCTGGCATCCTGCTAAAACCATCTTTCACTGAAATAGTGCTAATCTTTTCCACTACCCAGAAACTACATCACTGCTTAGTCACAGTCTGCCAGTTCAATTATACTTCTCCGTAACCACAACTTCCAGTGAAACGGTTACATTTATATAACACACAGTGAAATTCGTTTTGTTTTTTTGTTTTTTTATTTGTTAGTTTGTTTTTTACAATTACCAAACAGCAGTACCTCCAAATATTAAAAAGAAGTAGTTAAACACAGGATGTGCATCGACTCACTGCAGCATCCGGCGTAGGACGTGACATGAGACACATCGCAGCAGCCAAAGTCCCACCCGATCTCATTAGCATGTGCACGTAACGTCCACGGAGGAGGCTGTCTTTAAATACCGGGAGTCACCGCCTCCACAGCACCACTTCTGCGGAAAAGCTGCACTCAGGAGGAGACACATTCCAGCTCGGGTTTTCGCCCTCTCAACTAAAGTCTAAAGGTAAGAGAAGGCGTCTAACTTAAACATTAGACAGCATGTTGTCGAAAGTTACACTTCAGGCTTCTCCGGAAATGTCAGCTATTCGTCTGTTCGTTGATTAAAGGAGGTGCGCATTTTAAGATGATACAGAGAGGGGTGTGACGATTTAGTCAGCAGCGATAATGACAGGTCATGATTAACATAAACATGTGTCGCACTGGTGTGTTGAAGGGAAGTTTTAGTGAAGATGCAACAGGGTGTACGTTTCCCACTTGTTGCAGTCACGCTCATGTCACTGAAATGAATGGTAAGTTATAAATTATGGACATGTACCTACAGGAAATGATATCATGGAAACAGTGAGATCCACGCGTTCAAAATATACGATACTAAGGAAACATCCCAAAGTAAATAGGTTGATATAACAACCCTAAAGTGATGGTGGTTTGAATCAGTGTTTGTCATTGCATCAGATGGTTTTGTTGATGTAATATACGCAGTGTTACACAAGTGCTCTCTGCTGCCGGTGTCGACCATCTTCCAGACAGCAGTCTTCTTCGCAAACAAATTAACCTAGCATAGGAAATGCACTGCAATCATGTCATGGCCCATGGGAGAGCAGGTCTTAGTGAGAGTAATGTTGACGCAGCAGATATATTACCACTGGTGTTTTAATGCTTTTCCGTATGTACGTGAATATCACTTTTGTGATCACCAGTATTCAAGATATCCATCTACTATCACTTTGTGAACCTTACATTTTCTGATTAATCAAACCAATGATGTTCTTGGCACAGTGTTGTGACTGGTTTGTCAGTTGCAGCCTGTTGGCAGCCACAGTTGATTGTCTGATAACATTGTGTGAATGCTCTGTGCAAAGAAAGTCAAGTTTTTCCTGCTGGTGAAATTTCCCCTGCATGTGGAATTCTCAAGGCAAATAAAAGTTTGGATAGAGTGATGTTCTGTCTGACGACTTAGTCTGAAATTCAGTAGTGTAGGAACGAGATATGTTCACAGACACCTGCAAAGTAGCTACGTGAAAGACCAGATACTAAACGTCAGCTGTGATACCCGACACCCTGTCAGAGCACAGTAAACCTTTACTGACCTGCTGGTGATCGAATTAAGTAAATGTCATGATGTAGTGGAAAATATGAAAATACAAGCATGCATAAAGCTGATTTAGTTGTCCAATTGTGTGTAACAGCTACTTATTTTAAGTCCCAGAAATTCATATAATCCAAAGCTTGACATAAAACATCCATCTCTCTCTCTCTCTCTCTCTTTCCAACCATATCGCATTAAATTCTTTTAGCTACTAATAATCCGTCTTGTAATCCTCATTCAGTCAAGCTACTGAGGAAGTCATTTGGCTGGTTTGTACAGCATATTGCGACAGTAAAGAAAGGAGCGCTGGCCAGTAATCTTTTACTGTGAGCTAACAAAGGGTTCCCTTGTAAAGAGCAAACCCTGCTAACCTCTGGGTCAGGTTCTGCTATGCAGTAAGCTTTCAGCTCATGCCTGAGTGAGAGATAATTGGATGAAGGGATGTTAAGTATGACTGTCCCACTTACGATATCTTACTATTGTGTGCAAACTCACAGTGGAGAGGTTTTAAATATCCTCTCAAGGAAGGTAATCCTGTCAGTTACTCCAGTACGTGCTACGCTCCACTACATAGTCGTGCTAGTGATGTGAACGCCTGCAAGCGTGAGCACCCAGCCTAACCAGGAAACATAAATAGTAGTGCATGACGTCAGTTGGGGATGGTCCATGATGCTCGAAAGACTGGCTGCAGTACTTTCTCAGACTGTTGTTGCCATGGAGACCTAGAGGGGCGCTCTGAAGCAAGTACAGTCCCTGAACCATTTAAGGAAGTAAAGATGGTAAAGGGTGATAGACTTTTCAGTGGGAAAGTGGAACTTGTGGTTGATAGAAGTTGTGTTTTTTGGGGTTATGAAAGGAGCACACTTTCATTTCTATAAAAGATGAAGAAATACAAAGGAAACCCAAGTTTGACTCAGTCATTGTGGAATGAGAAAGCAGTCACATACGCCCTTGTGAAGGACTGCCAGTAACTGCCACATACATTATGCAGGTCTACTTTACTGCCTCTCTTTCCACTCTCTCCTTCCATTTTCTCCCTTTTTCACTCTGTGCCCACTTACCTACTTTTTCCTACCTATTTCTTATCTTGTCTGCCCTCTTTTTTCCTTTCCTCTTCCCACATTTTTTTTCTCTATTTGTCCATTGTGGCTGTCTTCTCATGCTTTTTCACTTTCCTCAGATGTCCACCAAGGAGAAGCTGATTACCCATGTGATGAAGGAGGAGCCTATTGGCAGCAGGAACAAGGTGACGGTGGTGGGTGTCGGCATGGTGGGCATGGCCTCCGCCATCAGCGTCCTGCTCAAGGTGAGACAGAAAGAGAGAGGAGGTGTGAAGTGAAGAGAAACAGTTGGGGGATATGTGGGTATCAGAAAATAGTGTTGAAACAAGCAGACAGGAAGTAGGGGAAAGTAGATAGCATGAAAGCTCAAAAGTGTAAACTGGTGAAGTACGGAGCTATTACAGAACTAACTACAAGAAACAAAAGTGAACTGTTGGGTGGGTGTGATGGGCTATAGCCACAGCATCACCACTGGCATTATGAAAGGAATAAGATGGTTATGTAACATAGTTTCTGACCTGAGAAAGGGCTGCAGTCACACAGACTTTGAGCGTGTGCTCACTAGTGAAATCAACCTCTGTAATATTTGGTAGAAAGGAAAGCCTGCATGCCACCTTTTTACAGGAAACAGGAACTTCCGTTATATTGTCATGTTCTATTCACAGCAATTTAGCTTGATCTGTGTGAGCTGAGGAACAGCAGAGGCTAAGAGACACCAGGTCATAGGTTTTTAAAACTAAGAATACTGCTAATTAGTCTAGGCAGAGATGAATAGTGTCATTCTTTTATATCCATGTTGTTTAGTGGGAATAACCCAGAGGTCTGCCACTTTGAATAACCCTCACTGTAGCTTCATCCACATAACAAATTTACTATAAGATACACTGTGTGTGTGGCGAGCTGTCACAGGGACTTACTGTATGTGTATAATCAGGACTTGTGCGATGAGCTGGCCCTGGTTGATGTGATGGAGGACAAGTTGAAGGGTGAGGCCATGGACCTGCAGCACGGAGCCCTCTTCCTGAAGACACACAAGATTGTCGGCGACAAAGGTGAAAATACAAAAAAAAGATGGAAAAGAAAAACGACAACCTTTGACTGTTGATGAATTAGCTGGATACTGAAGGACACAAACCTAAACAATTTTTGTTTTTGTCACTTTACCAGACTACAGTGTGACAGCCAATTCCAGGGTGGTGGTCGTGACTGCCGGTGCCCGCCAGCAGGAGGGTGAGAGCCGTCTCAACCTGGTGCAGCGCAACGTCAACATCTTCAAGTTCATCATCCCCAACATCGTGAAGTACAGCCCCAAGGCAATCCTGTTGGTGGTCTCTAACCCAGGTTAGACCAGGGGGGAGTGTGAGTGAGGGAGGATGGCAATGTGAGAAGAGAGGAAGGTGTGGGGCATAGAGAAATATACCTGTAGCTGTAGGTGTAGATTAATGGCTGATCATTTCTCCTCTTGTTCCTTACACTCCCAGTGGACATCCTGACCTACGTGGCCTGGAAGCTGAGCGGTTTCCCCCGTCACCGTGTCATTGGCTCTGGCACCAACCTGGACTCTGCCCGTTTCCGCCACATCATGGGAGAGAAGCTCCACCTCCATCCTTCAAGCTGCCACGGCTGGATCGTCGGAGAGCACGGAGACTCCAGTGGTATGCAGCTTGAACTAAAAATAAAACCTCTGCTAGTCTCCCACTATACCTTTTTTAGTTGGTCTGTGGCAAATTTTTAATAAATCTTAATATAGCTATATAACTTGCATGTTTTATGTTGGCGTAATTATCGCTTTTTACACAATTTTTGTATTCAACATTAACTAATTGATTGCTATTATGTGTCTGTTTCTCACAGTGCCCGTGTGGAGCGGCGTGAATGTTGCTGGTGTTTCTCTGCAGACCCTTAACCCAAAGATGGGAGGCGAGGGTGACGCTGAGCACTGGAAGGAGGTTCACAAGATGGTGGTTGATGGGTGAGTACAATTTTATTTTGTATCAGTAAACCACCAATGAGCTAAAATTAGTCCCTGAACTCCCCAGCAAACCACATTTTCTCTCTCACACTCCACCATGTGCATAGACACCACCTGTCCAGCTCTTGAGCCAGAAACATGATGGTTTATTGAAACAGATCTTTAGGGTTTAATGCCCCACAGTCACAGCTGCTTATTAAGACTAAATGCCAACAGGCACAATCGAATGCAGTGGAGCTGACTAACCCCAGGAAGGAATTTGACGAGAAAAATGAGCCAAAAGGCAAGCAGAGGCAGGTACACAGTGCACTACTGTGTTATGGGTTCACTAGAGCCTGGCAGCCAGTAACCTAATAGCCATGTTTACTCCCTGTTACATAATACCGAACAGTAGAGCTCATGGCCTCACTTATTCTCCCACGTCTGCTTTAACGAAATCAATGACAATATTAAACCCTGACAAAAGAGAAGTTTCCCTCTCAAATTAATGATTTTTAATATGACCTATCCATGGTATCTACTCAACATTGCAACATTGGTTACCCATGTTGGTTTTGTATCATGAAGTTGTGTCATTACTTTGAAAGTTAAGTAATGCAAAGTTTGGCCTGTAAACTTTGGCTGATAATGCAATAAAGGTACAATATCAGTCAGCCTGACTTGTCTTGGTTTAGGTCTTTGGGTAGGACAGTTGTGCAATAGGTGATTTATCGTAGATGTTTGTAAAGGTTTCAGGTATGAAAGAAAGTATGTCCCAACAGAGAAAAAAGAAAAAGGTGCACCCCGCTTCATGTGAATGACCAGCAGAGAAAAGGCCTTAATTTAAATAGACATTGTCAACACTTTTGTAAATGTATGAAACAGAGTTATTTTGAAGACTTATGAAACTGCTCTTCACATCTTGGATTTGAGTCTGTGGTGCGCTGCCTTCCTTGTTGGTTCATTCAAATAACTCACATGGACCAGATTTATGTATGTGTCACTCTCTGCAGCGTACATCAAGCTCAGCACAGCAGCGATTCGGGAGTGATGATTATAATCTTCCCCTACCAAACAGCATTAGCTACTGAACTCACATGCAGGCTTCTATGATTTTTATTTTTTATTGCTCTCATGGTGATAAACAGCTGAATTCTCAGTATGCAAACATCTGGAAAGATGGATGAGGGATATTAGAGGAAAATGACAAAGTAGGAGGAAACATAGTCCCAAATACCAAAGGAGACTGACAGCTTGATTTTCTCTTCAGTCCATGAGACATCCAGTTCTCACTTTTATTTCTTATTATTTGTGTGCACTGCAGAGCCTATGACGTTATCAAGCTGAAGGGCTACACTTCCTGGGCCATCGGCATGTCTGTAGCTGACCTGGTGGAGAGCATCACAAAGAACCTGCACAAGGTGCACCCTGTGTCCACACTGGTCCAGGTGAGGAAACTGGGAGCACGCCATACATCCCACTGTTGTGGCAAATCCTAGATGATGATATTCATCCTGTCGATACTGTAAATGCTGCACATGAGTTATGAGTTGGCCAGCTCACTCTGTCCTGTCTGTCTTCTTCTTCCCTTCATTTGTTAGGGCATGCATGGAGTGAAGGATGAGGTCTTCCTGAGTGTCCCCTGTGTCCTGGGCAATAGCGGTCTGACAGATGTCATTCACATGACACTGAAGCCCGAAGAGGAGAAGCAGCTGGTGAAGAGCGCCGAGACCCTGTGGGGTGTACAGAAGGAGCTCACTCTGTGAAGTGCTCTCCTCTGAATTCTTCAATCCACACCAAACACCATGTGGTCAACCCCTACCTACTGTACCTCCTGTGTCCCTCATGGCAACGGGTGAATGAGACCTTTGAGTATCTAACAAGGCCAAGTGTTTGTAGCTTAATCTATGGAAGCTAGATTTTACCTTCAGATATTCGTGCACGGGTGTCATTGTCCTTTTCTGCCTCTCACCTGCCTTCCTCCCCACTTTCATGACTGAATTTTCGGAAACCCAACTCATACCTTTAGCCTTTGATCTCAGCCCGTGTTGGAGAGAGGGGGTATCTATCTGTTGTTAATTGTAAAGCCTATGCATATTGAGCGTATATACTCCATGTACTGTATGTTACTGTATACTGTTGCTGTTTCTTCTGTACACTCCGTGTTCGTAGTTGGTATGTATTCCGTGTATTCTGTGATTGTTACCAGTTGGTTTTTCCCACTTGGTAATCTCTGTTTAATTTTTTATTTGGAGTATAATGGAGACATTCCATTCTCTATGAGGAGGGCTTCCTTTCCACCTAGAGTCATAACAACACTGCTATATATCACTGGGCCAAAATCCTGTGATACCAAAGTACCTTATCACTTGAGAAAAGCAATGCTATGTCTACTGGTTGGCATTGAAGCCTTTTTTTTAAACGAACTTAACCACAAGTGCACTGACAGAAAAGGTGTTGCTAACAAGATGACTTGCTATAATTCAACTCAGCAAAGAGATAACAGAGAGCCAATGGGAAATAGTCAGCTAGGATCATGACCTAGGTTCAGGTTATGAATCATAACAGACGGTAACAATCCTGAAGAAGGAGTTGTTTGTTTGCGCACCCTAACTACCCTCAAAGGGTATTGTATTTATTTTACTCCACCTGACTCTGGAACAAAAGACATCAAGAGAAAATGATGGTATTATTTATAACTATTAATACTGTTAAGATCTATTTATGTATTAATGTTACATTAGATAGGGTCAATCACTCACTGAGGAACTCTGCCTGTCCTGGCAGGTGGATATTGATTTTTATTTGCTGTCACATCAAATAAATCTGCCAGGATAATGATACAAGTTTTTCCTTTGTCCTTTCCTGTTTGTTATCCACTCCAGCAAAAGGTCGCTTGTATGGGTTCATAGGGCAGCTGACTCAGCTGCTCTCAGGGCACATCAATGGGTTAACATATGAGGTATATGAGAGGTTTTTATGCAGGAGACCAAATTGGGTCACTAGCTATATGTACAGAGCTCTGCACCTGCTGAAACATGGCAGTATTTAAAAAAAGAATTACTGATAGTTTGATCAGCGAGAATTAGCCGCTGAATTCTAAAATAGTGTCCATTTGAGCCAATCTCTGTGGTTTGAGTTTGTCAAAGAATAACCCATCAAGCTGTTATGAAAAATAAAAAAGTGAAATTGTTATTAATGAAATGATCTCACAGGGATGAACCATTAAATCAGATTTCTTTTATTTGTTCTGATTTACATAAATCTACAGATATAAAAGAACAGGTGGTTGAATTGGAAACAAGAAAAAAATAACAGCAGATATTCTATCATACAATTCAAAGTGCATTTAGTAAAAGGCTAATTTAAATGAGACCTATTTTGCAAACTTTACATAAGTTAACTTCTTGATTAGTACAATAGTTCTTTATTTTTTGTACCCTCCAACACTCTGGCTTTATTCACAACTTTTTACTGAAAACCTAAACTTCCCAGCAGGACTGAGAATGAGTGGACAGCACAAAGTAAACATAAACATAAACAAAGATACAGATTTTCTTTTGTAATACCTTATAGAATTACGTATGCCAAGACTGCCACCCACCTTAATTTGAGACCCTGTACAGAGTAAAACAACCACTGTACATGATTGACTAGTTAATGCAGTCAGACTGGAGGGTAGACCTGAGCAGCTGACACACAGTGAAAGAACCTCACTCACACCATCGTAAGGAGACACACACAGATCAGGGAAAAACATACAATAGTGAGGGCAAGTAGATGGGAACTCAAAATTCAGCTCATGAACAGACCCAAACAAGACAGTGAAGATACACAGTTCAGGTCCGTGCTGATCATCACTTCTATTGTATGAAAAGCGATCCATTTGACCCCATGGCTACTGAACACGACCCAGACCTCATACAGCATTAAATCCTGAGGCTGAACCCGTCCTTCCTGAAAGGTTGCCCTGGGTATTTATATCAGAGCCTAACCTTTTCATTATGAGGGGTGTGGATATATGGGGCTCCATACAAAGCCCCTCTCTACTAGCCCCTAACAATTTGTGCTTACTAGACAAGTGACTTTGTCTGGCAAAGGTATTGTTAACCGAACCTGTGGGCAGTGCAGCATACACAGGTTGACACGCTAACTCACTGCACGCCAACCCCGTTACACCACACTTAGGGCAAATGTCACATACACTATACAAAGAATATGCTCGCACCTCACTTTTACCAATATGGTATGTGTCTTACACAGGTTTTCGTGTCAACCATAGTACCTGGTTCATGGCATAGTGACTGGTTTACCTTTACATTATATTGGGGCACAAAAGTGAGGGTGCCTGGGTCATGACTGTTGATGCATAATGATTTCAAAAAAGTATTTGGTCAGATTAAAATATGAATGGTGTCACACTACAACTAGCGACACAGTTTGAAATTTCACTGTGCCAAACAAGACAGCCCAATTCTTTGTAAATGTTGCTCTCCAGATTTTATAGAGACTTCATACAAGGAGCAGCGGTTTGAAAATACAAGAAGACATTAAAAAGGGAATAAAAGAAAAAGGAAGAAGAGGGGGGAGGAAGAGAGGAAGGAAATACAGATGCTTCCAGGTGGTCAGTGTGGGTCAGTAGAGGTCACTAAGGCCAGCAGTCTTGCGGGCTTTTTGCATGAGAGCACGAAGCTGGAACTGCTTCCTGGACAGAAGGCGTACATGCTGTAATAAAAGAGAAAAAGAGTCATTAAAAAAAAAAAAAACACAAGGGCTTAAGTGTGTTCACGCTTATTTCTCTAATGCGTTTGCTTTTGCTGAAATGGTCACCTTGAGGAAAACTTCCAGGTCTATGACGCCCCTACGCAGGGCCTCTCCCAGGTAGAAGATAGTGTCTTCAATTGCATTCTCCTCAGCATACAGGTTCAGGATCTGTTTGTACAGCGGAGCGGTGGGCACAATGACGTCATCAATGTCATTGTTCTCTGACTGGTTCTCCATCTTCTCCAAGGCCTCACTCAGCTCCTCGTCCTTTCTCTTCAGCAGCTCAATGTTCCTGTCGACCTCAGTCTGAAGGAAACAATTACAACCATTTGTTAATTTTGTCTTTATGGAAAAGATGATGATAAATACAGATATAACACCGAAAAAGAGGATAAAGTCTCACCACTTCCTGGTCCAGTCTTGAGACCATCTCCTCCAGTTTCTGATGTCCTTTCTTCAGGTCTTCCTCTGTTCGCTTCAGGGCATCCAGCTCAGCCTGAGCTCTGTCCATCTCCTCCTTCATCCTCCAGCGAAGTTTGTCACTTACTGCAGAAATCAGAGATGCACGGATGGTGTCCTCGCCAATGGTGCCATCTCGGCTCTGACCTTTAGACAAAGAGATTAAGAAGTGAGGTGACGGTTGTTAAATGTGGAATTGTTATGCTCGTTATTTACATACATGTACCTCTTTACAAGCCACTGAATATGATGTATCATATGCCTGATGTATTAGGCAATATTGAACAAGATAACATTTTCTAGTGTCACAGGTCTAGAGCCAATTGAAAGAAGCACCACAGAGACGCCATTGGGCCTGATGATCAAAATGTCTTTGTAGGGATATCTGGTAATAGTGAATGGCACAGCATGACTCATCATTTTCACACTGAAACCATTCAGTGACCCCTTGTGGTTTTGTATGGATGCATCTGCCTCTGTTACAGTTCTCCAATCATTTGTTTACCTTTATTTCATCACCCATCTGTAATAAGGTGACATTAGATGCTCATACATTTAGGTTACAGATTGCGAGCTATCCAAGACAAGTGTCATCAGAGTAACCCTACAAAGTACGTGGCTGTGAAAACAGAAGTAGGATGGTTATGACACATCTTAATGATCTTTTACTGAGTGACTGGAAAAAATGAAACGCCTGGAAATGAATGTAATCCAATAGAACATTCCATCAGTAAAGACTACTTTTCTTAACTTTAAGGCAGTAGTTTATGGTGGTGTTTTATTGGATTGTGCAACATTGAAAGGTTTTATATATATATATATATATATATATATATATATACACACACACACAAAATAATAAAATATCAGACATATCAGTCAATGAAACCCCAAAAGCTTGAAATGCTGACAAATACCAGGTTATGTAAGTGAAAATGCATCAATAGATGTCTTCAGAGTCACGACCACCTCATGTGCAGTCTGGAGTCAGCACTACAAATGTCAGAGTTGATCAGCCTTGAGATCTGAGTAGTCTCCAGGCAAACCCATTTCTTCTCCTTCACTAAATATAGGAGCTGGCTTAAACTCCTCCTGCCTGCTGGTCCTTGACCAGCATTTCACTGGTGCTAACTGATGTTGGGACAGCAGATGGGTCCCCCGATCATGGGTCTGTCTTTGTGTGGAGTTTCTTTTCCCATCCTAAACATAGCGCTGTGTGCTTCTGAGGTATAGGGTGTGGGGACTGTTCTTTTCCTTTCGTACCCATCCTACCCTTTGGCCTTTAAAACTCCCCACTCTAGTTACAGAAACGACCTTTCGGTAGTGGCTCAGCGCGCCACCGAAGTCACACAGAGGGTGAGAGAGTTTGAGTCAGAAGGTCAAGTGTCTTCATTGAGGGTTAACTAAAGACCATGGAAAGGAGGAAAGGTATTGTTTTGTCTGGAGTGAATTAACGATTGCCTTAATATTGAATCACTGTATTGCAATATCTCGATACACCAGAAACTGTGGTATGATTATAAATTACGTTTTTCAAAAATTAATAAATGTGGGATTTACATGTGGATCTAAAAGAGAGACATTCATGGACAAATGCACACAATAACAGTTTTTGTAAAAACTTTTGAATCCACTGCAAATTTCAACTTTCAAATGCATCCTTGAGATAAAGCAGAAATAAAGCACCCCAGATACTAAATGAAATACATACCAACTGTGGAGACTGGAGTCTGGGTTGGGTAGTGTGTAGGGCCTGCAGTGGCTGGATAAGAGTTGCCTCCTGGGTATTGGTATCCTGGATAGCCTCTGCAAATAGTTACATGATCAACAAATAGCTAATGCTTTATATTTTCTACTTGTGGGAATTTCAAACACCTATCTTTAAATCTAAGATGTGTATTTAGTTGCTACGGTGTGTAACTAAATTGGTTTTACAGTGTTTCAGTAATAAAGACAATTGTGTGTGTCATGCTGCCGAAAAAACCACAAAGACATCAGAGCCAGAACAGGTTTGTTGGCTGGGGGGAATGAGGTTTGAGAAATGCTTGGCAAACATCTTACCCTGGGTTAGGAGTTGGGCCATAGGGTGACACTGCAGGCATGCCAGGCATGTAGGAAGCTGAGGTAGAGAGATAGTGAAATGTTCAGGTCTAAGGACATACAGGTCAAATTATTCTTCATCTCTTTCACTAGCACACAGATGCATTTACTGTCAGTTTCAGTGATGTGCTGTGAGCTCCATCTGGTGCTGAAGAAAATAAATGCATTATTTAAAACATGATGTACTGTTTTTTACTGAGAGGTGCTTATAATATTTACTTAACTGTTATTAATATATTAAATATTAGAAGCACCTTACAGTATAGTGAGAGGTGTTCAGTATGTAGATACCTCTATCAGCACCATATATATGACTAAGTATGAACACAGCCTGTGAATCAACATAGATAACACCTTGGCCACTTAGATGACCAAAAATTCATGTCACTCACGGTTTGGGGGTCCAGCTGCTTGGAAGGATTGGTAGGGAGCTTGTGCAGTGGGACGTGAAAACACAGGAGGCTCCTCTCCAAACACCACAATCATCACCTGAATCAGACCATACAGGTCTGACTGAGGCTGTAAGACAAACAGTGAAAATTACGTTTATTAGTTACAAATATTACTTAGAGCTTCAGTTATATTTATGGCCCTCTTGTTTGCCCCATTTTGTGCTGATGAATAGTTCTAAACATATCCAAAATATTTCAGAGAGCTATAATTTACTCTTATACTGTATGTTAGAGCATCTATAGATTTCAAAAATGTCACTGCTGCAGTCAAACCCAAAAACTTCTGGAAGATTATTTGTATGTTTTTTTTTATTATTTATCCCAATCTATGTACATTTTATACATTCCACATATCGTCATTGCCTAAAAAAAACCTGATTAAAAATATTAATATCAAGACCTCACACTTACATGCTTCCACTCATGTAAATAAGGCAGGTAGATCTTGCCATTAGCATCGATGTGCTTGCCAGTTTTGATCATCATGGCACTGGTAGGTTTGACAAAACATATTGGAGGGTTGTAGGGATATGTGTCGAGCAGCCACAGACACACTGGGATGTTGTAGATATTGCCTAATGGAAATAAACACAAAGTTAAAATGTGACTGCTTGATAAATTATTTCCTATATTGAGATATCCTTTTGTATTCCGTTTTCAACAGCACAGGGGTACTTCACATGAAGTAAACAGTAATTATGATGCACTGTACATAAAACAAATACACTTCACAGTTTAAGAAAACTTTGTCTAGATATTAAGCAAGATAGCAATGTATGTAATCCCAACCCAGATGCTGAGAACCTCTGGGTTAGGCTTGAAGCTCACAGATAGATGTTCTATGAGAAGACATGTTTCATTTCCTTAATAGAATTTAAACCATGATGGAAAACAGTAGAAAAACTAGCAGATCAAGCACATGGCCACACATTGTTTGCAAGTAACCCTAACCCTGCTTGTTCTATAACTGCATGTGTTTTGGGTTAGCCTACTGCTCTCTTCATCTCCCTTGAATGTGAGGTAGAGCAAGGACACAAGAGAAAAAGAGTAGACAAGCGAAACAGACAATTTTCTGATTCTATGAAGGAACAAAGTGCAACATTGTTTTATAGAGAAACTGTTGTTTAGAAAGCAAGAGAAACTTTATTTACCTCTGTAGCTCACTGGGACTGTTCCTGTCAAGCTCATCAGGTCTCTTGTGGAGCCATCATTAAACACTGAAATACAAGATCCCGTGTCAACAAGCGAAACAAGTGTGATATATACCATCATATAAATATACAACATATAACTGGGACCAGAGAGTAAAACACAGGAAATCGCTATCATTTAAATTACCGTAAGCATCCATAACTGGCTTCAAGTCCTTGTACTGGGAGATGACATTCGTTATCTCACGAACAGTCAGATCTCTGTATTTGTATTGCTAGATAATGACAACAAAAAGAGGAGAAAAAGTCAGTCAGTCATGTTAGTATATTAAAGATTTAAACACAATTGCTGACATTGTAGTTTAGAAAGTGTTGATACATAAGCTGACACAACTAATAAACTCAGTTGTTTGCTTCAGTAATTAAAAACACACAGTCATTGTCTGCTTAAATACAATGCTGTGTTATACCTGGTCCTTAAATGCACAATTTGTGATCTGAATATGCTCAAAGTGTAGCCTTGCCATCAAACTCAAAACTCAAGGCTGGAACCTATCAAGTCACCAAGATTAGTTGACATTAGTTGACTTGCATTTACAACTAAACCTGTTTCAAACATTTGAAAGGCCTACATTGTATATTGTGATAAATCGTGAAGTACACAAATGTCAATATATGATCTGTAAACCAAACTGTAATCATGAAAATAAGTGTAACGCTCACAAATGGTGGATTGGGCCTTAACATAATTGCATTGCATTTTAGCTTGAATCGTTGGACTAATTTTCACATGGCGAAAACATAAATAATTTACACTTAACACAAGTACAATGCTCAACAAAGTGGTATTTTCTTCATTTAAACAGCAACCTTTGAAAATAGCTCGATGGGCTGTACAACAGCTCATTAACATGTGGAATCGTTGTTAGAATAGTGCCATATTCAAATTGGGGATGGAGGTTTTAAAACATGTTTATTGTCAACATTACTGACGCTAGCTAGGTAGATATGCTAGATAGCATAGCGGAAAATGTAACAACCAGATCTATACATGGGTTCTTTGCAAATTATGCTGTTATAGCATAATCAAATGTTTACTTTTACCAAACTACTCAGTAAAACAGACTGATTATTAAACACCAATTCCTGGAACTGTTCTGTGGCTAACTAGCTAATAGCGCCATGTTTGGTGTCGGTAACATTAGCTGACTTGCTATTGTTGGCCACAAAGTTGAGCAACAGTTAAACAGAAGGCTTACCTTCAGCATTTTCTTCAGGGCACCTTCGTTGACAACTGCCATGGTTTCTGATCGTTTGTTTTAAGCGTTCTTAACAATGCGTTAATTGAATGAACAGCTGTCCTTAAGGCCAGCTGGGATGACAACTAATACAAGCTAACGCTAGCCAGCAGGGCTTCACTGAATGCTAGGCTAACGTTAGCCCAGCCTCGGGCCTGACTACAGTTAAGACAGTGATTTGGTTTTATATACAACCCTTCTGTCCAACACGAGTAATGCCTCTGTTGTTAACGCACCGAGATTCAATAAATGTATTGAGAATAGAAAACAACTAGCTCAAGAAAGAGGCCGGAAAACAAACATCCGATGATCAACAAAAGGAATTTCCGGCAGTTCACCTTACTGCTTCCGGTCCGCCTGTGACGTGGTTGATATGAACTAAGCAATATTTTATTATTCTTGGTACAAAGACAGTATGTATGAAGATGACAACAAGGTGATTCATATTAGCTTATACATTTGACTTATCATGTCACTTGTACAACAGTTATGTAATTTATTTTGATAGATTTATTACCATATTATAATTATCTCTAGAGGAGGAATAGATATCTCTATATCTCTTCTTTCTTCTTCTCATAAACTATAGCCTTGTTATAAATACTCAATAATTAAAATTTTTTATTGATTAATCAATTAAAGGTGACCATTATAGGTTTTCTCCGCTAGCCCACACTTGAATTATTGTAGGGTCTTGTGATTCATCTATGTAGCTATTCATCAATGTATCAATTTGATTAAGGTTACTTAATTTGTTGGGTGAACATTAAAGGCTATATACATGTATACAATGCGCATCTCTCTTTCTCTCTCTCTCACACACACTCACACACGCACACTCACACACTCTCTCTCTCTCTCTCTCTCTCTCTCTCTCTCTTCTTTATAAAGGTGGTGGGGAGAAAGAGAGGTGAGGGGGTCAGTTCAATATATGGTTGGAACATAAAAGGTGAACGGTTGTTGCACAGCTTAACCCAACCGAAATGACTGAGGAACAGTGTTGGGTCTTTGTAAATAATGTGGCAGCCTAATAATCTACAGTAGCTGTGTATCTCCTAATAGGACTCAGCCAGATTTTAAATTGCACATAAAGTTTGAGGTATAAAACATTCATTTTGGTGTAAGAAATTACACAAACATTTTATGGCCTCACAGCATCAGAGCCACATTCATTGTTATAGAGCAAACTAGGATGACATTGCACATTTTAAAGCTTTCCCTTTGGTTTCTTACTTTAGAGGAGAGTACTGCATGTTCACACATCTTCACCAATCTGTTCTGGGGCACAAGAATAAGAAATGTGAATTCTTAAAAAGGGTTGGATTCTCCTTTAAATGCACAATCCATGATTGTGATACAGTGTTCCATCCTCAAAGCATCTGGTACAGAAAAGTAACAGGCTAAAATTATATATATTAAAGTCATTATAAAAGCCTATTTGGGATCCTATTCATATGATCATGTAACCTAAAAATGGACATTTTCCACACGTATGTGTTCTAGGATTACACTGGACTTGACGAAATGAACAAAGCAGGGGATGCAGTTTGCAGGTTCCACTTCAAAGTATTTAATCTTTTGCCAGCCGTCAGTCAGGTGTGAGTATAGTTACAGCTGAGTGGTTATATTTCTACAAAGAAAGTGTACATGCACGTCAAATTCTATCATTTTATCTTAAATAAACAACAACAATGAACAATTGTAAATCAAAAATCGGTACATCAGTACAAAAAAAAACCTATAACAGTTATGAATTATGTTAATTATTTAGACATTTTTTATTTATTTAGCTTAGCTCTCCTTAAATCGACCTCTGCAGCCAGCACATTTGTTCAAAGCGCACAACCTTGACTTTGAAGACAAGCCGTCTCTGTTTCCGGCTCTCGACTTCCTTGTTCAATTTTCATTATACAAGTAGGATAATGGAACAAACATACGCTTTGGTGTGCTGAATTGAATTGCACGTCTTCATTCTGTGGGACAATAACAACATCAACATACATTTGCACTTAGCACAAGTAGGACAATAAAATTAGGCAATACCCCCTAAGCTGGTATTTTTCGTTTTACAACGTGAACAACTACAGAGGAATTCTAATTCATGCACGGACCCTGCACCTGGGTGTGTATGTGTTCACTAAATTACAGTCTTCTCTCTGGTCTAAAAGTCCAAACCATTTTTCCACAGCAAATGCAGTTAAAGTACAGCTTCATGAGTTGCTTGTAAAGACACATCTATTCAAATACCGTTAGTTCATGTAAAAAAAAGTAGAAACATTTTCTTAAAATGTACAATACATTCCCACGAAACACAGATGATATGTTTTCATCATGTGTCATATTATTTACAGTCTTAATCATTTGAAAAATAGACATAGCATGTTGTTATTTGTCTGAAGTTATGAATTAATTAACCATAAAACAATCAATGGATACCATCTGACACTGTACACAGGATGGAACACTTCACAGGCAGCACCGAAACCGTTTTTTTACACAAATTATTGTCACAATTATTGTACACAATAGACTAACAGCTGGTTTCATTATCCTGCTGGAAAGGTTCATCATCTTCTCTGAGTAAAGACACATAAAAACTCCCATCTGTTTTTGAAAGCACCTCTGCTTGCCTCTGAAACTGTAGCCAACCTGAAGAAAAGAAAGGAGGGTCATTTCACAGTCACAACAAATTCGTAAACATGTTGACCGGAGAAAGGTATTGTCAGCCTTAGATTTATGAGGGGTGAACCTAGATTCACACTTAATCAGGTGTGGCCTAAATATGAATCTTGGATCTATCTTATCAACATCAGCTTGTATCTAGGGCATAGATGCTGTTGTTGTTTTGAAACAACAAGGAGGCTTTCTCTCTGTCAGTGTGAGCGTTACTTACATGAGGCCTGTTCGGGCTCTGAATGAGGCTGAATACACACAGGAGGAAAGTCTCCAAACATGACAGCCATCACCTGCAGCAGGCTCACTAGGTCACACTCTCCCTGATAGGGGAAAGGAAAAGTCACACACACACACCAATGTAGTAGCATGGCTCTTAAAGCTCTAAACCACACTGTGCTGTACAAGCAGTGTCAGCAAACATCATTCCCTAACCCTGTCGCAATCAACCCTGTCAAAGAATAACAAGATAATGTTCTCACATTCTTCCACTCCTCCAGGTAAGGCATCTCCACTTCACCATTGCTGGAGATGAACTTTCCTCTAACGATCATCATCTCACGTGTGGGTCTGATGTAGCAGATGGGAGCAGTCTGGGGATAGCTTTCCTCAATCCACAGGCATATGGGTATGTTGTAGGTTTTGTCTTGTGTATAAAAAAAAAAACAAGGGAAAGAGAAGGGTATTTTGTCTTGCTTATTCTCAGTGATTTCTTTCTTGTTTTTGATTTGAATTGACCAGAATCCACATCAGTGTAAGATGATTATAATTCTGTTAAACAGGATTACAAAATGCAAAGTGATTGTTACCATTAAATAAGACAGGAATGGTTCCGGTTAGACTCATCAAGTCCTTTGTGGTTCCATCATTGTAAACTGTATGAAAAATGCAACAATGACTGTATCACTTAGGGTGCTTGTTGAATGAGCTGAGCAACAGACTGTGAGCTGTTATTTTGCGTCTTACCGTATTTATCCATCATGGGTATGAGATTTTTGAAGTGAGTCATTGCAACATATATTTCATGAGCCACATGCTTGCGTACATAAGCCTTCAAAACAAAAGGATAAAAAGCAAACACTGAGGAAAGAAAAACTATACATACAGTTGCTTGTTTATGTTCAATTTAGAGAGGAATAATTCTTCTTTCAATTTGTATTCTTACCTTAGGGAGCATTTTCTTAATCGTATCCTCACAGTATGACATGATTGTGGTTTATCCAAAAGGAAAATATTACTTTTTCTGTCTACCAACCCTCACCTTTATGTCTGTTGGTGGTTTATGGATAACCTCTTATCTTTAATGACCTTTGAAAGCCAGTAACAGAAGAGTTTCACAATTATGCAAATCATCTGCCCTTAAAAGTACCGTAATAACTAGGCTACATGGCTTGAACCAACAAGACAGGAATACAGTATGATATTGACCCAATAAACTGATATGTTTTTAGCTTTATTAATAATTTATGACCAATAGAGAGGCCATGTTGTGTGTGTGTGTGTGTTTTCGGGGGTTTTTTGGAATGGTGTTACTGTCTAATCTCAATGTTCAGGATCAATTTCAGGATCCCCCTGCTAATGTATTAGTACTTAAGTATTTGCTCTTATTTATTGCCCCTCATCACCACTTATGATCACGTTTGCAAAGACATATTGATCTGTAGCCTTTGTTTGACAGAGGCTGGTAGAGAGGCTGTTCTTCAATATATTTACCATTACTGAGTCTAATAGGTTTGATATTATATGTAATATGTATTCAGATATAATTAGACAATATGTAACATTACAAATGAGTAATAGTCTTATGCCATGTCTCACTTTATTCTACTATACAGTATTCCCTGCTTCCTCCTTCCCTTTTCAGTTGCTGGAAGTGACCAAAACTCACACACACACACAAAACCTGTTTTACTTTCTGTGTGATACACTTTTTCTTTTAATAATCAAGTGTCAGTTTTATTGAGATAAACATCTACCAAATATCAATCAGAACTGATACCAAGACACTGATTAATCAAGACACAATCTTATTCATTTTAGAAAGTTTATCCATGAAGAAATTACTGTTTAGAATGATTTTTATTTGTACACTGAAACGCTTCATGAGTGTACCACCATAAAATAGGTGTGGCCTGCTCACCTGTACAACCTAAAACTTCTCATAAACAGCACTGCTGATGGTAAAACCTTTGTAAACACAAGATTTATGACTGTCCTTTGAACCTTCGTCACAGAGTACTTGCCCACATTATGTGAATTACAGTTTAACCTTACATTATGATCCTGCTGGGCAAACAGGGAAAACATTTGTCTAGACCATCTATATATTTCAGCTCTGTTCATGTTAGCTGTTTAGAATTTTATTTCCTTGTCAAGGCTTTTCCTATTCCATACAGAGCTGCCTGTAGGTGGCAGCAAATTTCAAACCTGAGAGGAACTTCATGTGAAAGTTTGACAGTTGAAGGATAGACACAGTTTCATCTTGACATCTTTATTCCTGTCCTGCAATACATTTTGCCACATTTTCAAAGAGTAAATACATCTTAAATAGCTAAACAGTTGACATTTTCACAAATTCCTTCCACACCTCCATTCCACAGTTTGCAAGGGGAGAAACAAGCCCTTGAGCCCACTGTATCCTTGTGCAAAACTCCCAATGGTCCGTACAGTCTTTGTCATGCTCGCCAGGTTTTCTGACCTGTATACTTGTTGTGGTTTGCTGGCTGGAGTATCCCTGCGGAAACATGACACTGATATTCTAATGCAATGGGAATTTGAATGCATAGATTTGTGGAATTCTATGGTATTATTATGAATGTACTGTTTAAACGATTGACAGGGAGAGGACAAGCATAGGCTACTATTGGGACTGTAGTTACATGTTACAAACTCCACGCTCTTTTTCCATTAGAAGGTTCGAGTACAATGGGAGAAAAATAAAAGTTAGGAACAACACAGCCCAAAGTGGGACCAACCCCTGCATTATTTCAGTATTGTAAATTTTAAACACAAGGCTTCTGTCAAACAATATCTAAAGACCCAAACACATTCACAGTTCATATGCGTCCTCTAAGCAGAGAAATGAACAGTTAATTGATAAAAACTCGACCACTTTCATCCATACGGTAACTAGACTGATCATATTTTTTAAGCCATGTTGTAAGTGAAAAAGAATCACTTTAACTGTACAAATCAATAAAAATAAAAACTTTGTTTCTGTTGAAAAGAGACAATGGCAAAATAACATTTGACATCTTTCATGTTAAGAGGTCTGAGATGTCTGAGGTTTGCATCTGAAGCTTGTTACTGAAACCTGCCTGTAGTGTCTGAAACTCCATACATTATCATACATAACCAATTCTCTAATCTGATTAAGTATGATCTGGACTAAAAGTAACAGTTTCTAGTAATTACCATCATATGTTTTAATGTAATGGGAATGAAATGTCATATGAACATGGGAGCAAGACAACTTGGCTTCTACAGGGCGTTGTCTACAGAAATTTCTTTAATTTGTTTTGGATTTCAGTCATGTTAAACAGAATCACATTCAGACTCACATGCCCTTACAGAGAACCCCCTTTAAAAAAAAAAACAACAAAAAAAAACAAAAAAAAAAAAACAGTGTAGTGTTTCTAGGGGCTTGTCCTGTCGTTCAAATTCTGTACAGCGCATGTCTAAACTCAACACACTTCTATATTTTTTTTAGTTGCACACACAATCAAACATAAAACAATGCAGCAAACAGAACAGACAATTGTCTCAGGTAGAGCTTGCTGCATACATGAGGTACAAACTAGCTAACATAAGGCCAAGTAAACACAGAGCAGTCTTTTTTCATTTAGGCAGCAAATTAATGCAGTTGTGGAGAGCACAAGCTAGTCAGGGTTAAGAAACAAAGCAATGCGCTCCGATAAAACCAATATCCATCACTTGTTACACACAACAGTCCCACACATAAAGTAAATATGGTTCTGACATAATTAGCACCTGACCTGTTATTGTTCATTTGAAAAGAGCTGAGGTGGCAGAGAGAGAGAGAGAGAGAGAGAGAGAGAGAGAGAGAGAGAGAGAGAGAGAAGCAGTTTGAGGGTAGCATGGTGTGTGAAAACTGAAGTTCGACTCTGAGGCAGGACTTGTGCGTTACACTTTGCAAAGCTAACTGGTGACATCCTGGGTGAAACCCTGGTCTCCAGGAGACCTTCCTGGACCCTGATTCCTGAGCCTTATTAACCACAAGGAGCGATTCTCACAATCTAAAAATAACTTATCACCATGTAGTAAATAAGAGTTATACACTGCACAATTACTGAAATGAAAGCAGGGAAAATCAACTTCTCACTTTATCTAAAACCACTGCCACTGTGTAACTGTACAAGTGTAGGGCTTTCCTTCTATTCTACAGACAACCTCTCCAGCTGCAACTGCAAAGATGATGACTATATTTTCATGCACTGTACCTCTTCTTCCTAAACCAAAGTAAAACAGGAAAATACGTAGTCATGAGAGGTGGTTTATTCCCAATACTTTGTGTAAATTGGACAGTAAAGAATCCTATTGCACCAGAACCTACGTACACTAGCCATTACTATTATTATTCCACAAAGACAACTCTTAGCAAAGAAACATCTGCAAGGAGAGAAGGCAGCTGCATTCTGGAAAGTCATCCATCCTCATATTCTTCATTCAAGATATCTACCCTGAAAAGGAATTCCAACTACATCAGGCAGGTCATGAAAAATGTCAAACCAGGTGCCATCAGAAACAAACACCCTTTCTCACATAGTGCTCAGTGACTTTCAAATCCTCCAATCACAAAAAAAGCTCCATATCAAAAACAAAATCAAAGACTTTTACAGCTAGGCTAACTGTTAAACAACAACAACAAATTATAGTCATTCCCACGTCCGCCTCCACCCCCTGAACTCAGTATAATGAAGGGACTACACAGCCATTCGAGGGAAGCCCAAAGGCGGGCAGAGTGGGATGGAGATGTACGTTTATGCAAGAGGTGTCAGGCTAACTAAATGTCCATTCCAGTCTTTTCCATTTAAGTCAGTCAATCCTTCCAGTGGTCAGGCGGGCGGGGAGTGGAATTAGGCTTTCAAGGTGGGAGGGTGGTTGGTGACACCCCCTTTAAGACCAGTGTTGAGACTGAAAACAATAAGTTAGCAGAAAACTTGTGGAGCTACCCAGCGAGACCACACTGGAGTTGACAAAGAGTCATTAGTGGTGTTGCTCACAGGTCGACGTGTGGACCAAAAAACGGGACCAAGACCAGGCTAGTTGAGCTAGCCACTTCGGCAACAATCCAAAATCCTCCTTTCCATAAAGGTCTATGGTTCAGTCAGCTCTGGTGGTTTCCTTGAGAGCGTTTGCTTCAATCTTCCTCTTTTTGAAAAAGTTTATATTTCATCATTGAGTTGTTTTATCTTTCTATATTAAAGTCCATGCTGCCACTACGCGCTGTAGCATTTTCCTCAACGTGCAACAGTCAGCTGGGGAATTAAATGACACGAGAGAGGGACAGATGTTAGTACCATTTTGCCGTTTCTGGGGAAACTGAGTCATAATCAAAGTTTAACTGGGAGAGATATTGTTTCACATTCATTTTTCCTTAGAATGTGTAGTCATTTACAGAAAAATACATACTGTAGGAGTTCCAGCATAACAGAGCAATTTGGAGACTTCCCATATCATTGTGTAGCTGTCAAAGAAGAATAATGTGTTTAATGTTTCACCTGCATCATGATACCACACAGCGACAGCTCATACAGTCCTGACCGCTCTCATCAGGTGGGTTCAGCTTCCTCAGTTTATGCTGTCTGATCTCCCTGACCAGTGTGTAGAAGGCGTCCTCTACTCCCTGTGAACACACACAAACACACAGACAGTTTACAGCAAGATCCGGACACTTACAACGGCCAATTATAAGTGGAGTACACTGCATGCACCTCTTATAACTGACATCAAACCTCTCTGGTGTACTCACCGTTGAGAGGTTTTGCAACATTACCATAGCAACCCTGACCATTTCAGACACCCTTAATCAAGAAATCATGATGACTAGATTGACGTCATTGCTCAATTCTTTACATACTCCACCGTTTGAATGACAGACACTCCGCAGGTTCAGTGATGAATGTGCGAGTCTGTATGTACCTACATGAAATGTGACAGTGAGTCAGAGACAGTCAGAGCTGTGTGGCGACTTGTCCTTCTGAGGCCATTCACATACTGTAGCTCTGTTCTCAAGCCAAGGTAACCTGGCTATGAGTCATCGCCTGCGGCATAATAAAATGTTCCCAGCAACACAAATCACATCATGCCGCAGGCCATTCACTGTGCTGCATGTGTGTGAATACACACCATTACACATCTCACAACATAAACAAATATTACAGAGCCTACACTAGAACACTGTTATAACTTGTTGATCAGTGTGATGCAGCAGGGATCAGGTAGATTTTTAAGTTCATAAAAAGTCATTTTAAATGTAAGAGAGAGAAAGACAAAGTGTATGGTACCTCCATGACAGTGCATGTACAGTACGTGAGTGTGTGCTTCTTGTTCACGACCTACCTGTCGTGTCTTGGCAGAGGTCTCAATGTAAGGGATACCATAGGAGCGGGCGAGTTCCTGGGCTTGCCTTGTGTCCACCGTGCGTGCTGGGAGGTCACATTTGTTCCCCACAAGCACCATGGGAACATCGTCTGAGTCCTTAACACGTTTAATCTGTTCTCTGTGAATTGCAAAACAAGGAAATTGCAATAGTTGACATTTCATTTGCAAAACTTTGACTGTTTCCTAAATACATCTCAGCACTGCGTTTAAACACAGTGACGTATCTCTTGTTTGAAATCCTCCCAGCTTCATAAACAACAGCAGCTTCACCACTGGAGAGCCAACCACCCAGGGAGCTCTAGGACCCTGAGGAAGAGCCAGGGCCCGCTGGTGCTGGGCTGTGCTGCACTGCTGAAGGAGGGAGGTGGAGAGGAGGGAGGGGTGGGGATGGACAACAGGCAGGCAGCGAACAGCATTACCTCATCCCTACAGCAGCCAGCGCCAAACGCCAGGCAGCCAGGGGGAACTGAGTGAGAGGAGTGGGTCAGATCAATCAGCTCAGCCCTTCTTCTCCCTCAGCCACAGTACTGCATGGACATATCCACTACAGTCAGCCCGCCCCATCTGCAGTCAACACTGCTAATGATGTTTATGACCGCACTTGCTCAGAGTCTCGATGTCAAAGCAGACATGTTTACCTGTTCAGGATGAAGCAGGTAAAGTCTAACAGGCATATCAAAAATTCCAGAAAAGCAGATATAATCTTCTCAACCAGATGCATTCTTGAGCACAGTATAATAATGAAATCAAGATGTACTATCCAGTTTTAAGCAGCTGCCATGTAGTGCCAGTACATGCCAACACTGGAGGGGAAGTTTTGGAAAAATGCCTCAGACAATCTTTGCCTGTAAAATAGATGACAGATCTTTAAATAACTCAACAGCTCTAACTGGGCCACCACCTATTCTAGCATCCAGCCAAAGATTCATGCATGCTTTCACAAACTACACAAAGGTTTAACAGTGATACCAGGGGTAAAAAAAAAAAAAAAAAAAACACTGGCCTGCAGCAAGTGAAACACATGTATGTGTAATAAACTCAAAAACCCAGTACAACTGAAGAGGAAGTGACATATGCAGCCTCTTACTTGCCACGTGCAAGATTGGCATGTTGGTGTCTGATGTGATGAGGATGAAGAATGAATGTGGCAAAGAGAGAGAATACTGTCATCTCCAGCTGAACCGCCCCCCCCCTCCCTTTCCCCTTCCCTGTCCTTGGGAGTGCTACCTCTCCTCGCTCCTCTAATTGAGTCAGGATCGATTTCATTGGCATCGTGCTGTAATCCTCCAGTTGGGGGCTAAGCTTTCTTTAGCCGTGTTAAACGCTACAGCATGACATCACCCCACCACTGCAGAGAGCTGGCACAGACACGTATACACACCCCTCTCCCTCCACACACCCATGGGAGTCCCTGTAACACACACTGCATATACAAATGCACATACACAGAAGCTTAGAGGAGAACTAACAGAACAGAAGCGATTTTGTGTCTGAGCTCCACCCTGGCTGGTCTGTGACCTGACCAGCAAATACACATGTTCACATCTGCAACAATAGATCACAACATGCTCAATATCAATGTTGTGATTTGTGATGCCTTCTGCTCTCCGTCCTTCTTGAACACACACACACACACACACACACACACACACACACACCTGTACTGGTGAATGTCCTCAAAAGATTTGGTGTTGTTGATGGCAAAGACGCACAGGAAACCCTCCCCTGTCCTCATGTACTGGTCCCTCATGGCGCTGTACTCTTCCTGACCTGCAGTGTCCAGGATGTCCAGCAGGCAGGTCTCCCCGTCAATCACTACTTGTTTCCTGTACGAGTCCTGCAGAGAAAAAGAAACACCACCATTTAGAGAGGTGGTGAAGACATCAGTGGAATGTGTGAATGAGCAGATCAGGTGGGATTTGAGGCAAGTGTGAGTCCATCACTGAGGATGTCACATCCCTGGCGTTGGTTACTCAGCTTTTAAGCAACATGAATATATACAAAGGCATAGAGATATGATGGCAATTGACTATGTATTAATTGATATCTGTTATTAATTCCCTGTCCACTTCCAGGTCAAATGGACAACAAGGGATCAGAGGAGCAGGGCATCGGAGCCAATGTTTAGCCTTCCAACACGCAGCCACAAAAACATGGAGTGCCGTCCCTTTGTTTGTTAGAGCATAGGGGCCAGGAATGCAAATACACAAAAAGGACATTGTCTGGCCAGAGGCAGGCGTGGTGAGAAAGAGAGGGAGAGAGTGGAGTCAGAGAGGGAGGAAAAGAGAAAAGAGAGGAGAAAACAGTCTCACTGCCTTGCCTCTTCTCTTTGCAATGTCTTATTTTCATGAGAATATAAGAATTACAAAGAAGGGCGGAGTGAATATTTCTTTCTTAGCCTGACCATTTGGAGATTTGCCACAGCATTCAATTAATGAAATTATATTAACTTGGTTTCTAGACTGAGCTTTCGTCTCAGGGTTTGGACAATATTTCTTCAGCAGTGACATGGGTCTGGACATTTGTATAAAACACGTAGATCAATGCATGCACTTATACCACATAGGTGCAAAGTGGTGAACAACCACACAACAATTCAAAGGGGAGCAGGGAAGAACTTATGTTTTTTTTTTTATATATAAACGATATGCTCAACCTTTCAGTACCCTTCCACCCCAACAAACGAGGTGCCTCCCACAAGAATAATGTGCAGAACATGCAGAACAGAGCCGTACCTCTATGGTGGGGTCATATTCATCCACAAAGTGGTTCTGGATGAGCTGAATGGTGAGTGCACTCTTGCCCACGCCTCCAGCTCCCACCACCACCAGCTTATACTCCGTCATCTTTGCCGCTGCTGCTCACCACACACACAGCACTGCTGGAGAGAAGAAAGGGAAGAGAGAAAAGGTGCAGGTTAGCATACTGACAAAACACACACACACACATTACCAGAACAACTGACACACACAGCAGCTTTGATAAGATATTCTCTGCCCCTGCACTGCCATGATGCGGTCCATAACCAGTGGCACAGACAAAACATACGTATTGTCATTAATGCCCAGGGGTGAGAAACATTAGTGGTTTGTGTGAGTGTGTTGGAGTGTGTGTGTGTGTGTGTGTGTGTGTGTGTGTGTGTGTATGTGTGTAGTGGGGGCTGAGGTTGAGACCCTCAAAGGGGAATGTGAAAAATGTGCTGAAGGTACTCAATGTTCCAATCCTCTCCCGCTCAGTGTGAGCAGCAGAGAGTGTGTATGAGAGGGAGAGCTAGGGAGGCAGCGAGGGAGAGAAAGGAGGGGCACGACACTGGCAGACTGATCTTCATCACTCAGGCTTCACATTACTCATGCCTCTTTTGAACCCAAGGTGATAGATGCCAGAGCCAAAATTGTCAGATTAAAAACATCATAATAATACACCAATAACAAAAGCTGCACAGAAATATTTAAAAGAACTAAAATGTGTAAAAAGTCAAACATCTGCACCAGTTTCTCCTTTCAACAATGAGCTCAATCAATTCTCTATCTCTAACAAAGCCAGGCTATTGCCATATTGTTTTTGTTGGTTTGCCTTGGTTATCCCATAGGGATCCATCCACAGCAACAGAATGAGTGGCCTAAAAGAGGATTTTATGACACCAGGTGTGCCTGCAGTTGCCCCCTATGGACCCACTGAACTCACTTAATAGGTCTAGTCAATGCTCTGACGATAAATCACAGCATGTTATTAAAGAAACATGTCAGTCTCTTGAGAAAACCCAAGAGATGTCTGTTTTGTGAAGGCTAAAACATAAAAAGGTGAAGACTGCCTTTGCAACACTTTATGGACCTAGGGTAGTTGAAAACAGAATCGGTTAAGTAAAGCAGTTTCTACATCGACAGGTAAACTTTACAGTTTTTTGATTTGAGAGGGGAGAGGGGAATGAAAAATTCTGCTAAATTACTCAAAAATAATGGGAAATTTGGGTTGCTCAAACCTTTAGATGTGTATTTGAAATTCACAGCGAGGAAACCATTTGTTGAAAGCTGGTTTTGAAATCATTTAGCTGTGATGAGCGTTTTTCTTTTTTTGTTTAAATCAGGTCAAGAGCTGTAAATTGGTTCAGTTTGTTGGGTCGTGACACCTTAATCAACAACCTGCTGACAGCACAAACACAAGGTGTGCTCAGTAAATGTGTGAATTTTGCATCGAATTTTGCATTGAATTTTGTTATCACAGAGTTAACTATTGAGTCAGCTGGAACCACACATGTACATACATGCATAGACACAAGCCAATACAATAGGCATGGACATGGTTCCTGACATCACCCCCACCACAACACTGTCTGCTGGCCGGTGAAATTCCAGGCATGGTGCGTCAACTGGTAAAGAGAGTGTTCATATGGGTGTTATCACTACATGCAGTGGCAAAATGTGACTCAGCTTATTGCAAATTTACCAAAAAAGAAACCAAATCTATGACCTATAAATGACCCGATACCAGCCCTGCAGAAGACATGATGAGTCAGTGTTAGAAAAACGTGAAGCTATCATGAGGAATCAAATACGCAGGTTGGGGCTGGTGTGACCAAACTTATAGCCAGCCACAAGGTGAAGTGGCCTTGAGGCCCTTAGCAACCTGACGTGGTTACTGCCTCAGTTTGAAATCATACCAGCAACAATGAGCTGTCAGGTGATCATCACAGTGACGTCATCTCTATTGACAGACAGGAAAATCACTGGGGATTCCTATACCTGAGAGATTGCAATATCTTTGATTGGCTGTTTAGTTCCACTTTCGGTTTTGACAGTAGTGTACATGAAGTTCAGCTCCAGATGTTTTCACACCATTATACTTTGAATTTTGAATATAGAGTAATGCCATCAGAATTATATTATGCCCTGTCTGACATTGTTATCTATCTTGTTATCAGGTCCAACCTAACACCCAGCGTAACCTAAAATCTCTCTTCCTCAAAAGCAGTCTCTCTCATGTCTTGTTGGTTAGGCGGTGCAGTCAAGAATAAAAGAAGTTCACACGGGGTTAAACATCTCAGTCTGCTCATCGCCGGTGTCTCACTTTGCTGAATGTTCTTTGAGTGAGCTGAAAAAAATAATAATCACTAACCTGCACCACCTGCTACGGTGTGTAATCAATCTGTCAGGATGTCATGAGCACCGCAGGTCACATATGCTGTTTTACCTTCTTCAGGACACCAACTGCCGTCCCCGACATAAAATAGTAGCTCTGTTACGCAAACTCCTCGTCGCTGTGTTTCAGCCAGCCTGAACAGAACACATACACACCCTCTCTCTTGTGGTTCATCTCCCCAGGGAGCATGCACGCGTACACGCGCACACGCACACACACACACACACACACACACACAGCTGGAGCTTGCTTTACACTTGACTTGTAGAAAGAGAGGAGTAGTAACAGGTGTGGTGATCAAGTTTAATGAAAGGACAACACTACAAACACACACAAACTAGACTTACAAAGCTAATTCAGCCATGAGAGAAAAATAACACACATGCTTATAAATTTGTCTCTGGATTTGGTTGTTGGGTGAACACAATCTGCAGTGCACCTCTGTAAAAACCTCTGTTTGTGTTATTTCTGTCTTGTGAAAGAGTGTGTAACTGTGCTGATGTGGGGGCAGACTAAGATTAGCCAAGCCTCAGACTGGCTTGCGGATGTTAATGATTGGCAGAAAAGCAGACTTGTTAACTGAAGACACTGCCATTTAGCTGCCCTCATTCAATCACACACAGACATGCACGTGTTCCAGCAACACATCCTTGATCCAGTAAGCCCCTGCTCGCCTTAATGGAACAGGTAGCTATGAACACCATCACCAATATCAACAACGGCCTCCTTGTAAAAACACCCTCGCTGCTATAATTCTCAAGCACAACAGGAAGGGAATTATCCTGACCCCTCAATCTTGTGGCCAAACATTTAACTTCCTTTTCCCTCACTGTAAATAAATCAACCCGGTACACAGTGCAGTTCGCCCTGGCTGGAATACAGAGACCTAGGCCGAGCCGCAGAGCCAGCCTCGATGCTCAGAGCCTACTCTAACCAAATAAACAGCAGCTGTGCGAAAAGGGGAGACTTGTACAGGGCAGGCAGACGCTGGAACACCTTTGGTCGCTGAAGGCTACAGGCTCAAGACAGGGCAAGAATTCACAATCTGACTCGCCATGAACTACTTTAGTGTGTTGGAACAGATATCAGTAAGAGCATGGACATAAAATAAAATCTGATTCTTTCTATTATCAATAGGAATTGCCATTTTTTTTTCAATTAACCAATTAATTACTTGGTCTATAAATTGTTGGGAAATTGCAGGGAAATGTCCATCACAATATCCTGACAAAGATTAGCTTAACACATGTATATGCTAGCCAAAAAAATAACAAAAAATTGCAGAACAGACACAGAAAAATATTCTATGAATGTTTTTTTTTTTTTATTTTTTTTATTCTGATGTATCAATATCAGCCTCAAAAACATAACTTTGGTTGGCCTAGACAGATAAATACAGAAAAATTGATACATTCTCTGTTGATGGACTAAGTTATGGTTTTAACATTAGCATGGATTACAAGAAGTTTGTGAAATCTGTCTTCACAATGTCATTCCCATTCCAGTCTGGTAGATACAGGTGACAGGATAACATCACGTGCCGGCCAAATGGGCAGGATGGCAAGAACATATCAGCAGTTTTGTCTGAAGAATATTTAAATCATCTCTGCCATGTTTTTCTTCTTTAACCTTCTACCAAGATTCACTCTACTATAAACAACCACACCAACAGATTCTTCACCTCATCCTTAGTCAGCTGACCTTGATTTCCCTACACACTGATCCTTTGTCTGACAGTAACAGCCAGGTCTGTAATATTAGTCATATTTACTGGCTTCATGCCAATGAAGCACACTGAATTGAACTTGTGAGTAGTAAAGATGGATAATGTAGGACACACACACAAATGTATGAAAATGTAGGATACACACACAGGAATGACACCTACACTCACACAAACACCCACCACTCTCCAGATTCTGACATGGTGGTTGGTTACCATGTTTCTTCTATGTAACCACATCTCAAGTGTACACCTGCCAAGCGATTGGAATTAACAGCCTAAAATGCAAATTCAACACACCCGTGCCCACTACCGGGAGACTAGAGGAAGGAAAACAGACAGCCGTGCCATCTCCTCTCAAACTAGGCCATGTCAGCAGCTGATTAATAATCCAAACATACATATGGAGATGAATAGGAAAATTAATCATTGATAGAGATGCTGCCACTTTCTTTCAGAGCCACTTGTTGTCAGGAGGGACTCACACTGAGCTGGTCTTTGTGCAGATAGAGAGGAGGGATGAGAATGCAGCCGCTAGGGATCACAATCACCGGTGAACATCAATCTTTTTACATATTTCATCCACACATAGGGGCCGAGCATAAGAACTTCTTGTCCAACTTTTTCTGTTCTGTGCACACAGATGGTTATCCTACCCCTATAACAGTGCCACACCTACATATATCTCTTCACTGCCCATTTTCATATTGTACAGTACAGTATTAGTGCATGGTTAACCTGTGCAGTCCGTAATTGCCCCAGATGTGCAGTTGGCCACATTTGCATATGTACTCACACGCACACACAAAGTAATAATAACAATAATATCCATAAAAACATGCACAAAAATACAATGATTTCTGAAATCGGAAGAGATCAAATTTTATCGTCAGTGGCTCAGCTGAAAAATTCTACAAACATTGGCAGCCTCTCATCTCTCACTTGGAATCAACACAATCTATTCCATTGGACTAGAGTGTGGGAAACATGACTGGATGTAGATACAACTGTGTGCACGTAGGTACACCAAGTGCTAAGTGCGTATGAGTGGTTAATGTGTGCAGATCTAACAATGTATAGGTATATGCATTTTGGACTGTGACCTTTTGGGGTGCAGGCAATCCTTAAGCTGGGTTAGCTTGATGTGTTGATTTTGTGTATGGCCAGTTGTCCATTCTCCTTTCTTCCTTCCTTTTTTACAAATATTTTGTCTTACTTACTTACTTAGGTTCTATGAGCAGGGAAGGTATTACTGGGAGAGGGGTAAGTTTGGAGAATTGGGGGATATTATGGTCTAAAAACTTGAATCTGTAATACTGTATGTGCAGATTGTTGAATAAAATTTGGTTATTAAAAAAAAACAAAAAACACACAACTATGTCTAGCCACCTTTTTCCCTTTTTTAAAAATTGTACATATCTGACAAAAGTAATAATCCTATAGCAAAGTGCTAAAAGTATAACAGAGAAAGCTTCCTTCAAACACTGTTTACATGCATTACTCTGAGGCAGGCAATAGCTGCCGACTTGTCTACAAGTTGGTGACCTATCCCTTCCCAAGTCCCCCAAATCGTTGCATGGCTGCTCCCTTTCCGATCATGAAGCACTACACAGTATGTCTGTGTTTAAGGTTATTTATAGCTCGCCACCTCCAGCCTGGGAAATTAACAGTTCGTTTTGAAACCCTAGAGCCCCGCCTGGACCAAGAGGATAATCTTACATGACAGCTTACGGAGGGTGCAAGCACAGAGCAGCAAGAGGGGTGATGGGAGGAGAGTGGCTGAGGGCGAGGGAGTGAGAGGGCTACTCTTACTGTATGCCAAGGGCACAGCCAGCCACAGGAGGGAGGGGCTGACCTGGAAACTGAAAAAATAAATTAAGAAATCAATAATGAAAATGCTCAACATTCTCCTGCATTTTCCGAGCTAATTCAGCTGTATGGCTGCTATAACTAGTCGGAGAAACCTCTCTTCACTTTTTCTGTGACTCCTCCCAACCTGGAAAACAACCCCATCACCTCAACACACAAGTAGAAGGAGGGCACATGATTGGCCATCTTCCTTGACATGCATTCTGCTCTCCATTAAAGTGCTTAATTGGTTAAAGAATCCATACTGGCAGAGCCACAAGCCCACTGCAGAGATAATAGATTTTTAATGGAGCGATGATGGTAAGGAGACCCTCTCTAGGGAGGTATCACAGTCGAATACTGAGACTCCAAGACCCATCATAGAGCCTCGATAGCCCACCGCACCCTCCCACTGCTCACCAATGACATCATCCCCCTAAACAGCATCCAAGCATACGTGTTGACCAGCATGTGAAGAATGACTATCCTGCTCTCTGAGGCCAATGAAACACAAGCTAGTGAGGGCTTAAAGTGATTCTTCATCATAAAGTCTATCTGATGAATCTAGTTGTTAGACTATAATACATTTCAAACAATACCATACATTTAATAATTATCCAAGACAGTCCTCATGTAATTCTCCCCAAGGAGAATCTTAGAGAAACTATTCCTAGTCTCAACATTTTCTTCCGTACAAACATGCAGGCCTAGATGGAGAGTTTCTGAGCACATGTGAGAGAGTAAGTGTGTGCACGATTACACAAACTGCTCTTAAAGGCACTGGAGTCCAAGTGACCTTTTCCCTACTGGGTCATCCTTTTAGCTTGTCAGGCTGGGTGAGACAGTGGAGGCAGCAGAGATGAAAAGGCCAGCTGACCTCCACACAAAGGCCTGCCAGTTAGAGGAGCCATGAGGCTTATCATCAGACACCAAACACCCCGAAACTCATCAGTGGTCTTTTTTTTTTTTTTTTTTTTTTTTTTTGCCAGTCAGAGGAATGAGTGAATCTTGTCCAGTTTTTTTAGTTTGTGTTCGAGTGGCATGTGAAAGCAGAGAAGTGCACAGAAAGCATATTGTGGGTCATGTAAACAAAGCTGCAAGTTAACCTGCAGAAGATCCCAATCAGTTTTCCGAAGTAACCCAAACAAAAACAACTAAAAAATCTCCTCACATGTATACACTTGCCTGTGCTGTGTCTTTTCGAAGCCTCACACTGCACATTTAACATTTAAGTAAATAGCTATAAATGAAAGCAGTATCAAAAGTACTCATTTGTAAAATTGTGGCATCTAAAAGAGTCACTCTTATTTTGGCTTGAATATGGGCAGCACCCAGGCTTCAGCTGTTCGGAGAAAGCTCTCACCTTCATCACTAACTGCACTACCTCCAGCTGTTTCCCAGCTGCCTCAATTCTTACCTTGACACTGAACGCAACAGATGCTGATGTCAAATTCAAAATACTAACACTGACCTCCTTAATGTACTCCATCCTATATGATCATGATAAAAAACTATGTGGACATTATGTGTGATGTCACATATGATGCTTTTTATCAGCCACAGTGATATTGTGGTGATTAAAATAAAACATGAACAGCAGTCAGTGACAATTACATGCCAAAAAAGCCATCAAAAAGGCAATCTCATGCTTAGTGTTCTCACTGAAATGTTTTTAATCTACTTTTTATGATGACTAAAAATGAATTGTGTCTGTTTGGGATGAGTTAAATGTTTCTCCTCTTGTATAGCAGTCTCTGTGACCATAATTTGAGTGAAGGCCAATCAGATATAAGTACTGTCTTTGCCTTCTTTTTCCTTTTCAACTTAGAAAACACTTTTAACAGACAGCTTCCAGAGTAGAAATTATTCCATGTCAGCTTTATAAATGCCTTGTAATGGAATCTAACTTCCGCAGTGATACATTCGGTTTTTACTCAGTATGACGGGGCGTCACCCTTCTTGTCTGTGGCCACTATCGGCAGCAGCAACCTCATACTCAAGATTGTCTTTACACTGGACAAAAATACAGGCCGCAGAAAGTCATTTCGCCACTATAACCATGTTCATTTTAGTACCTTCGGTTTCTTTTTCAAACTGAGAAGACGGGGAAATCCACGACCGTCTAATGAGATTCCTCCATAACCAAGTTTCAACACCCGAACTCAAAGAGACTGTTTATCAAAATAGACCACTTAAAAAAGAAAAAAGAAAAAAAAAAAAGAAGTGTAGGCAATATCCATACCCTTTGTAATTCCCCATACATGTGGCCAGGGCTGAAAAAGCAAGCATGAGTTGTTCAGCTCGGCAGACAACGTTAAAGCTCGCCGGGCGTGAATTAAAATGTTATGATCGCTAGCTAACATGTTTAAACAGTGGACCGCAATCTCCAGCGGTGTCCAAAACACTGAAAGCATTTTAAAAGCGGACTTAAAATTAAACAAATACAGTCGCTGCCGACATATTTCGGACACAGGAATGTGCACTGCATACTTACAACAAGCAGGCGTCTAATTAGCGACAAGAGCGACGTTTCGTCTACCGGAGAAGAAGAAAAAATCTTTCAAATCTGTTGCCTCTCAGCTATTATCAGGAGGAAACAAAATGTTCTCGGTCTGCTTCCCGCCGTCTTCGGATATCTGCACCTTATTCTCTCCCAGTGAGTGTTTAATTTTCAATAGGTAAAATGCACCAAGGCATTCATTGGTTGTGGGTAAAATGAGCCCGCGTTGAACAATGTGCTTCCACAGAGAGAGAGGAGAGGGGATGAGGAGTATAGAGCCCACGCCCAGCTCTATCAAACATAGAACCGCCCCGGTTACCATGCATGTTACTGCTGCATTCACACGCTGTCGGAAAAATGCCCACTCCGTCATGAAGACTAGCTGACCCGTCCAGTGTTTACTAGATAATCACAGTTTACAATTTCTTATCTGTCACTTAAATGTGACAGACAAGACCTCCCTGCAAACATTTGAATGTAGTGACGAAAACATGTTTTATTAGACTATAGAAACAGTAGGATTTAAAAATACTGAGGTCATAGGTCCAAATTCCCCAAGCACAACCCCACCCACCTGAAAACACTAACCATCAGCAAAACGCTCACATTGTCTGATCTTTTTTTTTTTTTAAATCACAAAATGTAAAATTTCGTGTATTAATTTAATTACAAAGTTTGATCTCATTATGGCGTCAGTGTTTTTATAATAACCTCTCTCTTCACTGATGGACTTCTGGTAGAAAATATTGAATCCTTTGTAATTTACTTATTCATATTTGTCTAAAACAGTCACATTTTACGACATTTAGTCTATAAGAGAAATCAGAATCAGCATAAAAGGCCCAGCATGTGCAGTATATTATACATACATATGAGTACATATATTATGACACTACATCATAAAAGTAGCTCTGGTGCGTAATTTAGACAAACAGACACCAAGAAAATTATTGTTGTGACACAAATTTTTTTCTTCCATTGAAATGATCATAATAGCGACCACGTAAATTCGAAATCTTACATTCCCACACCCAGAGATTACAACGAACATTTGAAGGCAGCACCAGACCACCGTCGGCAGGTTAAAGCAGAGACAGTTCAGGTCGTTATGGTAGGAGAAACACAGCTTTACAAATTCATCTTTGATAACAGTAGCAATATCGGATAACCCATTAACTAGGTGCTACCTTCCAGGGTTGTACTGACAGCGTGTTATTCAACGACACCTGTTTCATGTGCACTACATTTCCCAGGGAGCCACGGGTCTCTCAGTGCCGTATCCAGGAAGTCGTGTTTGGTTGTCAGGCAAACTTTTGCTTTCTGTAAAATGTGTAGACTATCTCTCTAAACTATAGTTTCCTGCAACAGGTAAAATGTATTCTAGGCAACATTACAGTGTAATATTCCTTTGGAAGTACATTTCGTTGGGATTAACTGAAACTAGAATAAATTTCCTTCCGCATTATGTCAACATTGGTCCAAAATAGACAACGCTAGTTTGTTAGCTAATTTAATGCTAGTAAGATTAGCATATTTAATGTTATTTAGATAATACAGATATAGATTCCTACTTTTAGTAGTACTTAGTATTTTATCTTTCTCAGAAAGACATTCGACCAAGACACTTTCATATTGTTCATTTCAGGTAGCCGTGAGAGATGAGCTGCTGTCATGGGTCTGTACCCCAGGAGGTTCGGCCTGGTACAGCACGGGTCCTAGTGACTGATCTAAGTGGATCAGGCCTTGTCAACCCAACTCCTGCCACAAAAGCCTGTGAAGACTCAGAGACAGCAGTGGAGCTTTACCTCTCTCCAGAGAGGCTGGTAAGTTCTCAGGAGTACCTAAGGATACAGTCAGTATTCATCCCACTGATACACCCTACTCTCCCTTGTCTTTCTTTGATTCATGTGGATAGTCTATGTGTTTAATATAACTTAATTACAAGTTATTTGTGGAGACTTGGGTTGATGGATGACAATGGACATGTCAGCATGGAGATAAGATGTTACATTTACTGTATGCATCCTGTCTGTATTATTATGTGCGTATTGTGGCAGCACAGGCTGTGCAGATTGCTGTTTCAAGGTGAGGTAGGCAGACAGAATTATTTCACACCACATGCTTCACATAATTTGTTACATCAAAGTCATAGGTGTATGTCCTAGGTAAATATTGAATAATGATCAATTAATGACAAAATCCAGTTTGGTATGCCAGTCAGAGGTCAACTGTTGTGCTGATAATTTACGTTCCTCGCAGAAAATGCTGTGTGGAACTCGGGACCTCTCTCATGTGACCTCGCTGGAGATCTGCGTAGACACACAAGAAAACACACTGGGTAACTTTGGTAAGATATACAGTACAGCAAGGCATTTATAAAGGTTAATCATGGCTTACTATTTCAAACATTATTGCACAGGTACGAGGTGTTGTTATTACAGCTCACTGTTTGTCATTGGCATTGGTTTTATTTCTTTACATCTAGTGTTCCTTATGCAAACATAACACACTTAGTGACTTGTATTATATTTAAATACAGTGTTCAAAGATGATTCCTAATAGATGTTTAAAAACAACACCAAGACAATCACGAAGCAGAATTAGACAAATTGCCCTAACACACACTATGTGTCCATACTAGATTTCCTGTCAGGTGTGCTAACCTGAGGGTAAGAATGAACTGATAATGGTTGAGGAACTTATTTATTATGGTCACATCTGTCCTCAGAGAATCCTGGATTGCACAACAAGTGTAGGCATGACACAGTGTTGTCTGTACATGTGTGAGTCATGCCCACCATTATAGATGCTACACCTCTTAGCTAATTTAGGTTGAACACATGATGTGGTGCGTTTGGAATTGAACCAGGAAATAATCACCGCACTATGACGTGAAGTAGAGAGAGATGGTTATCTGATGGTTATCTGATGGTTATGGTTTATCTGATGATCTTCTAGGTGCCTTCTTGCCTAAACTGGCACAGCTGAAAATGAACAAAAGCATGATCATGTCAGTGAGGTAAGCGCAAAGTTGCATAACATAAATACTGTCTTTTTGTTTTTTTCCTAGTCCTTGAAAAACAACTTATACATGAACACTCATACAATGTCAACATTAGCTCATGGAATATTACAGATTTCTCAAGAAGCTGCAAATCCTGAAACCAAAAGTGCAATGCAAAGTTGAACAAAACTGAATTTGTGCTACTAGTTTTTTAATTCCTGTCATAGTAGAACCCATTTCATTTTTAGCTTATGTTTAGAAACAAAGCAAGTTTGTCCAGGTCTTTTCTCAAAGAGAACTGTAACTTGACCTTGAGCAGCGATGAACCCATTGGGATTACTGTCATGCTTTACACTGGTCACATGTGTGCTACAAGACACTCTTTAGCGAAAGGATTTGGAAGCCATAAAAAAGACAGTCCTTGAAGCAGAAAGGCAGGCCAGAAAAAGTGCAGTGTGATTGAAGTGCAGGTGTAGAGCACTGTTCTGCTTCAGCCAAGGTTTTCCAACAGGGACTTGTAATACAGTGTTTCTGTATGGAAGATGCACATTGAAGCTTGTAAACCAGATGCCAACAGATGTTTTGTTTAGTAGATTCTTAGAGATAGATACACATGGAGAACAGGTTCACCCACCTGCCTCACAATAGGACACAGAGGGGTTTGTGGCATATCAGCTTTCAGATTCATCCATTTGGACAGTCCCAGAAAAAAAAGACAGGAAATATGCAGTTTCCACTTTGATTGCAGCTATAGCAGTGTCATCAAAATTGGAAGAAAATAAATAAACCTCCAGGATTAGACACACAAACACACAGATTGTAAATTGTCCTCATAACAGGACAGGTGGAGAATTGTTACTCAAGAGACTGCTGAGGGAGAAGAGAGTACAACAGAAAGATAGGGAGCTGTCTGCTCCACCCTGAGAGTAGCAGAGCAGAGCCAGCCGGACGTGCACTGCCTCTGATAGCATTTCCTGCTCTGGGCTGTGGGAGCTGTAGTGGAGAGGGTGTAACAGGGTTGTAGATATACTGAATGAGCCTCTGCTGGAAGGGTCAGAGCAGGCCTCTGCTGTAGAGACAAGTGGGAGGCAGAAGAGAGGCCTGCATGTGGGGAAGAGAAAGGGGCTTCAAGCTTCAGTGGCCAAGGGACTGGATAGTCTTTGTCATGATTCATAGTGTTGTGTAACTCCCTTCCCATGCTTCTTAAATCAAATTTATTCTATTTTATCTCTTTAGAGACCTGGGAACCACCCTTTCCCACCTGCAGGTGCTGTGGATGTCTCACTGCTGCCTACAAGACCTAGATGGCATTTCTACTTTTTCTTCTCTTAAGGTAGACTTTAAAGGTTACAGATAGCTCTGTGGAGAGATAATTTAACAACTGAGCAAATGTATTTCTCATTTTGGTTTTTAAATTTGTTTCATTATTTCCATTTGTCATGTTGCACTGGTGACAAATTACAGTGGGATTACCACAGGCCATTCCCATATCTATACAGCATATACTAAAATTTTCAAATTTTCTAATGCTAGAATAGCTGTTGATTAGCAATCAGAGGTCTTGTGATCTTAAGATCCAAATCTCAGTGAGGTTTCATATCTGTCTCTCTGGCTCTTTGTAAGATAACTGCCTGTGTGTCTGACATGTTCCCTTTCTTACTGAGTCTTTCTCTGTGTAATACATTTTGTGTCTTCTGGTTTTTCTATTTGTTTAATCACATCTCTTTTCTCTCTCCATTTCCTTTTTTTTCTGACAATCCACACTATCTGTACTTCATTTCCCTGTTCTCAGGAGTTGTACGTGGCCTATAACACTGTGTCAGACCTGAGTCAGGTTGGCATGCTGGAGAACCTGCAGCTGTTAGATCTGGAGGGGAATGATGTGGATGACTTAGTCCAGGTCCAGTATCTGGGATTGTGTGGCAAACTCCAGACACTCACGCTGGAGGGAAATCCTGTGTGTGTGCAACCGAACCCCACGGCTACTCAGGTAGGGTAATGTTCTGCTCATGTTGTACATAAAACTAAATAATACACATTTGTCACCACCTGTGAAAAGAGTTTCTGCTTGAATAAGGTAACACAGATATCTGTCTGCACCTGTCAGACTCTTTGTTGTCATGACCAGCAATTGTGTTATCATTCAAGGGTGTTAATGAAAGAATAACAACACAAAAAGAATATCTCATGGAGATATGTGTGTTTTTATGTGTTCTCATGTGTATCCAGATTACAATTATGATATTAAGAGAGTACACTGAAAATCCTGGATTCATGCAACTTGAAAGAACCAGTACGAAGTAGTGCAAGGGTCAGAGTCACAGCAATTTGGCAAACCAGAGAACGGAGGTGAATAAACTCTGGGCAGAGTTCCTGAAGAGGAAGTGTTGTATTCAATTGATGTTGTAAAAGCCAACTTGCAAATGCAACTCGTGGGTCTGATGTAGGTATCATTCAGTTAGTTGTGTCTCTGGGGCTAGCGCGCCGTAAGCCCTCACAGCTTTGTCAGATAATGGCTAAAATGTAATTAGCGTGTGCTGAGACATGAAAGTATCTGTGTGATCTCACCGCCCTGTATCTGGGTCTTCAACACACCAGACAGGACAGTGGGAGAGCAGGAGGCATCAAAATAATCAAACATAACAGCCACATAACTGACACACTCTTCTGTGGAGACACCATGACACAGACGTATTGTTTTATGATTACATTACAGTGAGTATTGGCTCTCTTTTAAAACTGGCTAATACATAATTAATGTCATTTAAATGTCCAGTACATAAAGCAGCTCACCCCAGACCAATTCAGTGACATACAGGGTAGAAGCTGCATTTGCACCTTCCATGGATTTGAGACACAGTGTGCTTTTATTTTTTTGGGCCACTGTGAATGTGTTTATTTACACCCACCAGCCGAGCATTAATTAGAAAACTAGGGCAATGAGGGGAGATGCTGAGCTGAATATGCATTAGGCCTGTGCTTTGTAGTGACTGAGGGGGTCTTGGGTTTGCTCTCTTGCCAAACTATCACTCCTCTTGCTCCACCACACACACACACACGCACACGCACACACACACACACACACCCACACACACACACACACATACACACACACACACACACATACACACACACACACACACATACACACACACACACACACATACACACACACACACACACATACACACACACACACACACATACACACACACACACACACACATATCCGCTTACTTCCTCTCACTCAGCCCTCATTCTCCTCCTCTTTTCTCTTTCGTTTCCTCCTTGCCAGCCTTTCTCTCCCTTTTTCATTCACTGCATCTGTGTGGTTTGGTGAAGGACAGGAGTGCCATGCTCTAATTTGATCGCTTGGTAGCTCAGTGATTTACTGGACTCTCTCTCTGCTCTCTCTCTCTTCCTCTCTGTCTCTCTCTGTGTGGTGATAAAAGACCAGACCTCAGTGCAAAGTGCCCATTGTGGACTTCAGTAGCACTAGTTATTAACCTGCATAGCTTTATGTAGTTTCCCTCAATTTGAATATGCTAGGTTCCATAGATGTATTAAAGAATCATAATGGTAAAAACAAGTGCAAAAACATATCATGAAGATGGCCAATATGCCTTCTTAATGTGATAACTATTTACACATTCAGCACTGTCCTATGTTAGGACTGCTAGCGTAACCATGGTTTGGTTGACTTTATAAATCAGCACTTTTTTAATGTGGGTCAAAATGCTGATGTCAGAGTCCCCTGACATCTCCTTTACAACTTATCCTGGTTCTTTATCATTTGTGGGGCATCATTGTAGCCCATATTATATAGTTATGCATTATTTAGCATAGCTAAATTACAAAGCACTTTGAGTATAATGGAATCTAATTTAGATTAGAATTTCAGAATTGCATGATTCCATTTTTTGGAGCCAAGTGGAGTACCAAGCACATCATTAAGTGGATCAGTCGATGTCAAGCACACATCTGAGTAGTCTATTCATTAGATTAGTCATCGATGAACTTAGAACCGATGCGGCATGTTGAGCGGCAGCAACTCTTTTATATCATTTTAACTAGCACATAAACTGTATCCACTGCATGGCCACAACAGGAATATATTCATTAGTGATATTTTCATACACTAGGCGGTCCTAAAAAAGACAGTTACATAATGCATTCATGGCTTTCAGTGCACAAAAGGATACACACTGTACATACCATTCATCTGAAATAATAAGATGTTTTAAATAATAGGTTTTATAGTTCACTTTATAAGTTCCCCATTAGCTACCTATGTCTGGCACGATTCACATGCATCAATTTCTACACATTACACCTATATTTTTTTTACCGGACAAGTGTGTAGGATTTAGCGGGATCTATTGGCAGAATTGGAAGATAATATTCATTGTTATGTTTTCATTAGTGTACAATCACCTGTAATTAGCTTTTACCTCTCACATGTACATTGGGAATGGGTTCAGTTCCATGGAGTCCACCATGCTGCACCACCACATTACCTGAAAGTCACGTTGGTTCACCTACATGCTTGAAAAGCTTCACTGTTAGATGCCACTAAATCTTACACACTGGTTCTTTAACCTAAAGTGCATGTCTCTAAAAGTATCGGTTGTAATTCTTTTGTCCAGTTTTTATACCAAAGTGTAACATGATGTAAAGTCACAATCTGCCTCTTCTCCCTCTTTGTCCCTTTTTCAAACACCCGTCTCTCCTCTACATTTCACTCTTTCTCTCTCTTTCCTCTTCTCTTCATACCCAGACTGCAGACTATAGATATCGGGCTGCAGTGAGGGAGTTAGTCCCTCAGCTACATTACCTAGACGATGTAAGGGTGGAGGAGGATGGGCTGAGCTGCAGCAGCACCATGGGAGAAGACTGGGCCATTCTCCGAAACTCCATCAGAGACCGCAACTCCTCTCAGGGTGCTACTGAAGACGGTGTGTGTATGTATACGTTGTTTTGAGTCAGTCAACCCAGACCCGTTAATTACACTGGTGTATTTAATGGGCCACTCACTTTTGTCTTTGTAGGGGAGACAGCAGACAGTGTGTGTCCTTATAGCAGACCCAGTTCAGCCAGGCGCCCTGCTTCCAGCCGCTCCTGTGTCTGGCCGCTCTTGTCAGCGGGCTCCAGACCCCACACTGGCTCCAGACCTATGTCACTAACCAGGCCTGGAGTTCTGTCCCCTCCTGGATCCAGACCAGGTTCTGCAGACTCAGATCTAGCAGCAGTGGAAGCAGAAACCAGCATCATGACACATGGTTAAGACTCTCAACAGCAGTCTCTACTCAACAGTGCCCCCAAGAGGACTTATTTGTCATAAAAGTCTAAGATTTTCTGAAATCCCTCTCTTATCTGTTGATTTTTGAAGGAGCTGGTAAGATCCTGTTCTGTGGAAACCCAGTCCAGGCTATTCGAGCGAGGCGAGAGAAGCTGAGGGTATGTGGTGTGTGTTGAACAACAGAATTCCTTCAATTCAGTGAAAAAATATTTTGTTAAACAGATCTCTGTTAATTAGTTATCAAATTAATCTGCACCAATCCATCATTTCTTGAACAATGTTTCCCATACAGCAGAGCATTTAGTGTTCACTGAAAAGAACAAGCTCTACGGGCTTTGACAGGCCATTATGGTTGTCTGGCACATCTCTTTAATATCATGTCAGTATAAACAGAGAGAGCTAATTATTAGAAACCTGAGAGGACTGGCGCAGTGGTGGAAGGACGCGGGGGATGGAGATGTGTGAGGGGTGCAGCAGTGTCAGAGGGACTTGACAGATGGGGCTCTCACTGCCAACACCATGTGATCTGTTTCACCGCTGCTGTTACACTGCTGCTGTCACTCTCTGTTTTCTTCTTACCTCCTGTTAAGCCTACCCCTGTTGTGTTTGCTCTCTCTCTGTCTGACCATTACCCAGGTGTATATTCATAATTGATGTTCTCAACTTTTAGGCCTCTATTCTAATATTGTCTTTCCAAGCATCCTCTCCTAACATCATGCTCATTCTCCCTCTCTTCTGGCTCACAGACGGCACCAACCAGGACTATTTTCACCCCCTGTGACCTGCCCATCCATATACCAGAGCACACGTACGACCTTGAGGAGCCTGATGCTAGAGAACGTGGTGATGTGTTCGCTGAGCTTAGAGCTTGGAAGGAGCAGCACAGCAGGTACTAAGTACTTACACAGCTCTCCTTCTCTCTTTTTCTTAAACTGGAAACATACTATATTATATAAGCTGATTCTTAATCTCTTGCTAAGACAGACCAACCAATACAACTTATACAACCAGTGTCCTTCTACTTGGTTTTACAGGCGTCTCCAGGCCATAGAGACAGAAAGATTACCACAGGTCCTGGTCATTCAGCACAATGATAAAGAAGAGGAGGAAGGTGATGATGAAGAGGAAGATTTTGGTGGTATGAGGAATGACAGTAGTGATGGAGAACATGGAGACGAGAAGCACAGTGACAGCCTCTATACTGCCTCATCAGATTCCTCATTCATGTCTCTTTCCCCAGGTGAATACTCATTGAATGAATGTGCTTCCTGTTGCTTATAAAAAAGACTGGGAATGTGAGAGAATATAGAATGCTGATGGTAGTCCTTCAACAGGAACATCTACTATAAGATAACAAGATTAGCTCAAAACATAGTATATGGCTAGACTGCATCATAGGCTATTTGCATTCTTCCTTGTGTCAGCCAGTTTGAGGACAGTTATTGTTTGATGTGTTCGTTCTACCGGTATATCTGTAGAAGCACAGTAGTTATTTATTATAGTTATTTCCTTTAAACTACCACTCCTCCACCAGTCTACCTATCGCTACCAGTGGCCATGGTTACAATGGCAAAAGGCAAAGCGAACATAGAGCGTTTTGTGTTTACAATGCATAGGTTAAACAAACCGCAATGCAAACTTGAAGCGCACTTTGAGAGGTGGTCTCAGAAAACCAAACTGAACTGAGCCCACATTGGTACACGTGAAATGCTCTACTGCATGATTTAAAGGCTCCCCTAGTAGAAACTGTTTGCATCAATTAATTTTTCAAAGAGCAATGGCCAGTGGGTCTACTCCAACCCAGTCACGTGGCATTCAGCTGACCAATGCTGGAATTATGATCACTCAGTCAGTCAGTGACATTCATGATTATAGGGCTGGCCCTGCTATTATGGTCCAAAACAGACATAACAAATTATTATAAACCAGCAGATAACAGACATTGATGGCAGTCACTGAACCTTTTGTAATGATTTTGCTTTCAGACCTGTATCACAGAGAGGCCTTATCCCCTGACATGGCTCAGCTGTCCCTGTCCTCAGACACCACGCTGTCCCCTTCTCCCCCTGTCAGTGCCACAACAGCTTCTGGTAGTCGGAACCTACAAGGGATTCGTGCACGTAGGCTTCGACTCAGCCAGGCCAAATCAGAACATTCAGCTGATTCCAGCGGAGTAGGGAGCTCCCACAGGACAGGTACAACAGCAGGAGACACAGACCGGACACTCCAGAAGATCCAGCATGTGACCAGGACCTGTGTGCCTTTGTTACCCCAGGCTGCACACATACCTAGCCAGCCACCAACGAAAGCGATGGGTGAAGGGCTTGTGGATTCATGGTATGACATTATTAAAATTGACGTTTGTATATCGGTGTATCAAAAGTATATGTATTTATACAGCATAAACATAATAGATTAATTTTCTGCTTTTGCTGTTTGAAACTCCTTTATAGCATAGGTCATTAGAATGGTGGACTTAATTCTAATATCTATTGCTTTTGTAAAATAACCGATTTGAACAGTTGAATTAAGATATCATTTTAGAATTGAATATATCACTAAACTGTGATTTGAGTAGACGGTAATTAACACTGTGTAATACTTTGAGTGAAACTTTATTCTTCACATTTCCTTCACGTTCCCTTTCTTACAGTGCGGACATGGACTTATCCATTCTGCAGTCTGGTGACAAGCACCTTCACACTCCTCAGATGTCCAAACTCCTGGACAGACCAGTGATTACTCGTCCACACACAGCCAGGGCAGCGCTACAGAAACATCACCAGCACCACATACTCCAGCCCTGCAGAGGGAGCTCACACCCAGATTGACACCAGAGTGGGCTGATGTTTGGCTGCATTGACAGTGATGAGTATGATTATTGTGTGACTTTTCCATACCCTGAAAAAACAGAGTGGTAGCATGGAGGCCATTCAAGAGCAATTTGCTGTCAAGCTCGCTCTCACCATGCTTTAAAGTACGTTTGGATTACCAGTATTGCCATAAGATTTAGTTATTGGAGGCAGTCCCGGCGCTGTTGGGACTGACTCACCAACATCCTTTAGCATTAGTAATTGTGTAAATAACATGAGTGACAGTGTAGTTGAAGGACTTGCTATAATGAGGTAATTCCTTTAATGCGAGTGAGTTGGTGTTAGCTAGATTAAAATTAATGTGGGATGTAATTAATACCTCACATTTGCATTTCTCAGGTTTAAGTGTTTCATTATTATAACTCAAGTGCTACCTTGTATTTTACCCAATAAAAAAAATGTTAATAAATTTCAGATTACTTTGGTTCTCTTTCATTAATGTTGAGATGCGAATTTCATAAAAGATTGAGTTTAGCCAAGATTTCTTGCAGTGATAATGATTGTCTTGCTATTCATGGTGTAATAGTGTTATATGGCCACTTGATGGCACTATCTGTAAACATTAATTCAAAAACTATCACTCACTTCAACCTCATTGAGCAAACGATCCTTCAAATCCAACTCTGTGAAAAACAGGATTCATTCCTTTTTTTGTTCATATGTCCATACCTAAGGCATTTACATCAGAGACTGTCATCTACAATATACATATACAAACATAAAGCATGCAAGCCTTCCCTTTGCACACTGCTAATACTGGAGAAAATGTTTCATACCGTATTGGCAGATACATAACATGAGTAACAGACTGGAACAAATCAACTCCACTTAAGGTTCATATGTTCTGTGAGATATCCTATTGTTCTCCAAGAGTTAATGGGAAACTAACTATCCATTGTATTGTGAAGGGCAATCTAAGACAAATTTTGTTCTGAGACACACTTATGACAAACAGTTTTTGGGTAGATGAAGCATAAAGAGGCAGTCACATTAAACACCTTAGTTCAACAGGGTATATAATGTTGAGAGAAGTGGTTTGTTTTGAAGCTGTCACATGAATTCTTACATGGAATTTCATTTCAGGGGAACCGCTACAACCAGGACGCTGACGTTTCCAAACTTGCCCGGTGTTATGTATGAATACCTGATGTGAGCATGCACAGACACACATTAGAAAGCACTTCCCATATTTCTGGCGTGCATGCGTAAGTTCTGTACACAGAAACAGGAAGTAAATAAATGAGTCAAAGTACCAAAACACAGGTAGTCATAAACCTTGAAAGTGCTCCTCTCTACAGTGTTGGATTAAGAGGTGTACACATGTCAGACACAGGAATGTATGATGTGTGTATACATGTAAGCGTGCATATCCATTCAACCATTCGACATCTCTTACATAACATGTTGTATTTCTTATCTTCTAGTAATTCTTTCCAACTGCACCACCTTCGATCATCTTTCTCACACGGCTGCTTCATTTGTGGGATTGTTTCTCTCCCTCGCTCCCCGTCAGGCGTTTTCATCCATTCTCCCATCACACTGGTACTATTACATCTCAAGACACAAATGGAGGAGAATGGAATGAAAAGTGAGGCCTTTTATGGTGTTAAAGTGGGATGGTGTCCACCTTCTCTCTCTGTAATTTCTCTGAAAGGGATCACTCTCACATCTGGTCAGGACCTAATCTGGCCTGTACTTCCACTCCCCAGTTATTACCAGATAATATAACAAACCAGGAGGGCCTGGGCTTTATCTACTGATTTGAGATAGTAAATATTGCGAGAAAAGCTGAAAATTGGATTGCAAAGAAGAACAATTTCCTCTAATATGTCTGATATATAGCGAAACATGTTTCGAAAGAAATGCGTTATTCAAAAAAACATGCATCTGTATTCTTTTATCTGATTTTAAAAAAAAAACCTGTGGATTAGAAAAATCAGGGTCAATGGAGATGTCTTTTTATCAAACATCAAATTAAAAAAAACAATTATAGCACTGCAGTGCCCCTGCATCATAAATTTGCTTTGTAAAACTTTTCCCCTGAGGATGATTTAAAAAAAAAAAAGAAGAAGAAGTGGATCATATTATTAAGGCAAATATAACAGCTAATAGAGTGCATACAAACAACATAATTCCCTGTCTGTCACGAATACACACACACACACCCACATATACATACATACAAGGGTAAACAAAGTGACATTTCTGACACAGTGAAGTTGGCAAAGTGTGTCAGCACATGCTGTGAGCACCATACCAGATGTGGTTGATATGATTCGATCATGTCAGGTAGGTTGTAGTTAGATCCCCCAGAACATGCCATTAAAGCTATCTGACACAGGATGTTTGTAGACTAATCTAATCACATGCAGTACTGCTGTATCTTCATGCTGTAACAGCAGCTAATAAGATGGGTGTGAATAAATTACAGGGAAACATTTAGTGACAGACAACACACCAACAGTGAATGTTATCATGGAAAGGAATGCATTTTTTAATTTTATTATTATATAATAATATTACTGACTTGAGGCAGGCCACGCTGTAACTGAATATACCTACAGTATGAGTTCAGACAGGCCCAGCAGAAGCTGTTTGTACAGTACATGTAAGACCACAGGTTCCTGCCGGAAGGAACATTCCATTCATTAAGAGATATTTGGGCTACATAACTCATTTTCCGTTGACACCTTTACAACCAAAGGCAGACATTCAGTCTATAATGGTATACAGAAGGCATAAAATTATTCGCAATTACTCCTTTATATTTACAGCTTTCTGAACTAGGTTTAATCTTCTTTGTGACACAGAAGTCATAAATTTGCATGACAAGGCAATATACTTAATTTAAACAAGTAAAGTAACTGTTCTGCTATCAATGGGGGTTTTCCTTCCATGTGGTCAAGCCCATCGAAGAATATTTTTGTGATGTTTTTGTGATTTTTGATACAGTCTAAAGCGGTCAGAGATAACAAATAGAGATTTAAAAGGCATGGTCACACTGTTAGGGAAAGGTTATATCAGCAAAAACACCATAAGGCAGTTCTCTCACTCATTGTTTTGCAATGCTGAATTGATATACCAGAGCTAATACTGCATTTTCCGCTCATTCTGTTTCAAGGTCATGTATTCAGTAAGTACGAGCAGTGAGAGGCACTGGGGATTACCTGTTGTTCAAGAGGAAGAAAAGAAATGCAGCGGGACTAGGACAGAAGCCTGTTTTCTGGCCTAGTAATAGTGCATATATCAATTTTAAATCACAACATCTTGGCATGCTTTTAGAGAAAGTTCAGAGCTTAATAATGTGTGTTTAATAATCTATTCCAACTGAAGAAAGCCACAAACAGCTGTTGTGTGTTTCCTGCTTTGTGATTCCTTTTCAATTGTTTCCTCTTCAGAAGGTCTTGTTTTAGAGCTGTGATTGTAATTTGTGGGACAAATACAAAATTTATTTTAGTTTTGCATATGTTTGCAAAGCCGCATGCCTTTCAACAAATAAGATTTTATAGTTTAAGGAATGTTTGGCCTAGAAAGTTGAAAGATGAAAGTGAAACATTTGCAGCAGTATTCGTTGAGAATAGAGTATTGTATTCTTTAATTTATCTGAATAGGGAAATTGATAACATGTGATGCCGGTTTTTAAAAGAAAAAATAACATTTAATATTTTGATACACTAGAGATTTAGTACTTTTGGCCGACACATGATTCAGCATTAAAAGTTTTGTTAACCCCATAGCAAATGTCTTGTTGAGACCGGTGATAGTTGCCACATGGATAATTTCCCTTTCTTTTGTTTAGGAAACAGCATGACCTTTTATGAAAGACTGTTTCAGTTGATAAAAATTTATTACTGGAGCAATTACAACCTTTCCCTTCTACCACTTCTTCCTCGTCATAACTCAAACACCTGCTGTAACGTGTTGTATATTTTTGAAGATAGCATCCTAAATTAACTGTAATGTAAATACTGTTCTCATACTTAAAAAGTTTTTTTTTTATCAGAATAGATAAGGACCTAAAGGCCATCTAAAATGTCAGTGTATGCTGTTGTGTGTGGCTGTTCAGAGACACTTATCAAGTGTAGTCAGTCTTTACTATGTTTTGTCTAAGCACACAGTGGCACATATGAATTTCATGTTCTTGAAAAAAATACTGAACATTTTTCCTTAGATATATTATTTTTTATTTATTCATTGTTTTACTTTCCGTCCAGTTATTCGAACATTTTTTCCAATAAACGCAATTACTTTGGAATTTCTGACCGGATGCTGTATTATTTCTATTTCCTGGATTTCTTGGCACGAGCGAACTTTTGACGATGAGGACTAGGGGATGAGTCACTCGGTTGTCCGTCGTACGAAGATCGACTGCCATATCACTTGTAAGTTGTTTTCAACTCGTTTTTTGTTTCTTCAGAGTAATGTGAAACTGAAATGTTTTTGGACATTGACAAAGGATGCAACAAGTGCTGGAAAGTGAGCTCGGAGCGCTGCACCTGCAGGGTGATGTCTGGCTAACGATGAACTGAGATACAAAACTTTGCTCCCTGACTTTGTTGTGTAAGTTTCGCACAAGGTTATGGACGAACCTGCTGTCAGTGAATTTAATTTGCTTGGTTTCTACTATGTAGTTGTTTTACTGCCAATATGGTTAATTGTAGTCGACAAATTTAGCTTTAAGATCAAAGTCTGTTCAAAAGTCAACTAACGTCGTGCTAACTTAAAGCTCTGCTAAGTTACAGCTATTAACTGTTATTTTAATAGGTTGGTGTTTTTTTTTTGTTTTTTTTATAAGATACTAATATCAAAATAAAGTTAAGATAAATGAAACAGTAATGGTCCATCACAGCATGGTCATCAGCCACAACAATACTAATTATCATCGTCATCAATATCTTCATCATCAGCATTAGCTAATGTAAATGAGTTAGCAAATTTGCATTTTCAGTGAAATTAGCTCATTGGCAGTGCAAAGATGGAGAAAA